GCAGACCCACTCCTCCCAGAAGTTTCGGATAAGTGAGCAGTTTGTCTTTCAGTCTGGAAAAACCCCAGTGCCAGATAAACCGGATTGATAAGGAAATGAAGAAACTCCTGGGCACGGAAACTGGGATCATCTGGAAAACATAAAGCAGTTTGGGAAGAGTATCCATCTTAAGGGTATTAATGCGTCCAAACCAGGGCAGGGAGGAAACTCCCCAGGAGGTCAAGTCTTTATGAATACGGGACAATAGGGGGATATAATTAAGCGAATATAGGTCTGAGAGATTGGAGGGTATGGAAACTCCAAGGTAGGAGATAGCTCTAGGTTGCCATTGAAAGGAAAAGTTGTAGCGTAAATGCGACATCGTACTGTTGAGTAGAGTGATGTTCAGAGCCTCTGTTTTTGAAATATTTAATTTAAAGTTATATACACTCCAAAAAGGAAAGGGGGCATCCCTGTCTGGTGCCGTTTGATATGGGGAAGGGTGGGGAAGACCTGCCATTCAAGAGTGCTGATGCTGTGGGATGAGAATAGAGGGACACAACCTTGGAAATAAAACATGGTCCCAAACCCACTTGTTCCAGTATAAGGTGTAAAAAACGCCAGTCAACCCAATCAAAGGCTTTCTCGTAGTCAAACGAGAGAAGACATGCCTTCAAGTTATGTTGCTTGATATAGAACATAAGATGAATTGTTTTGGTGGTGTTGTCCCTAGCCTCTCTGTCCGGGATGAAGCCCACCTGATCTATTTGAACTAAAGTGGGTAAGAGTTGCCATGACTTTTGCAAACAATTTGATATCTAAATTAAGTAGACTACATAACTACTACATTGGGAGGGATCTTTACCTGGTTTAGGGATAACAGATATGTTGGCAGAAAGAGAAGCCTCAGAGGGTAAGCGAGAATTGTCGATGGCGTTAACAGCCTTAGCTATAAGCGGGGTCAATAAGGGGGCCTGGGCACTTACCGGGTTTTAAACCTTTGATTGCCCCCTAGAACTTCAAGCACCGAAATGGGTTCATCAAGGGCCAAAGAGTCCTGTGTATCAATGAACGGCAAAGCTGTCTCGTTAATGTATTGCAACATTTTAGAAGGATAAGAATCAGTAGGGTCACCGGAGGATGAGGAATATAAATTGAGAATAGTAGCGTTCAAACGCAGAGGAGATACCCTGGTTATGATATATTTTTGAGTTATCGGGCGCATGGATAAATTGAATCGGGTGGCAGGGCGGGTGTGGATGGAGCACCCGAGTCAAGTGTTACATTTGTTGGCTAAAGAATAATGATTGTTACGTGCCTTATCTCACGCAATGAGGGACTAGGAGTCTAACAACTGGAGTAGATCACGGCGGGCATTAGAAAAATCTATATAGACCAAAGGATCCAGAGTTCGTTTATGGGAGGTTTCTAGAGTAGCGATAACCGAGAGCAACTGGCATATCTCAGAGGTACGGGCCTTCTTCAAACGGGAGCCATGCTGGATAAAACCCCCCCTAAGGACACACTTCAGGGCCTCCCATTGGATGCGGGGACTCTCGTGTCCGTAGCATGATCAAGAACGAAGTTTTGGATGGCCCTCGTGACATCTGCGACTCACAGAGAATCCTTGAGCAAGCTGTCGTTGAAATGCAAAGAGGGGCTACGGGAAGACGTGGGGAGGTTAGATATGGAGAGATGGATACTACTGTAAAAATACTGTATCTGGCTCTGTTTTTTGGGGTATTAAATCCTCTGCAATTTATAGAGGAAAATCTAATTGGGGTAGGAACTGCCATATTAGAAGAAAGGTGGAGATAAGGTGATGTCTCAAGTGACACCATCCCATATCATACCCGATTCCTGGGGGGGGGGAGGGAGGGGAGAGGAGGGAGGGGGAAGGGTAGGGAAAGAGGAGAGGAGGAGAGAAGAGAATAGGAAGAAGTAGGAGACATAGTAAGAATAGGAAAGTCATAGAGCAAGCAACTAATAGCTAGGAGACAGAGAACCGTCTAATAATCTGACAGTGCGTTGAAATTGCACCGAGAGGCCTAGGTGGGGAACGTCGAGAGTATGTCCCAGCCCAAGCCTCCCATAGTGAAAGAGTGGAGTAGGATGCTCAACTGTGTGAGCAACCTCGTAAGAGAAAAAGTTTAACATATACCCTCAAATTAAAAAAAAAAAAAAAAAGGAAATCACGACATCATCTTCTCTATAAGTTTGTAAACCTGTAAACGACGGAAGTACAGTACTCAATGAGCATCAGAAACATCTTAAAGAACAGAAACAAAACCAAAAAACCTACTCCACGGATTGAAAGTGCTTCCTACCGTCCTCCCCGGAAACACATACAGGGGGACTCAGAAGCCCACCTCAATCCAGTTTAGACAAATTAGACAGTGAACGAGTACTGATAATATGAAAAACACTATGACATGAGCAACAGGATCAGCAAACCAGCGGAACCCCCTAAGGTTATACGGTAAGGGCAAAAACCCATTTAAAGGAAAACAGAAGGAAGGACCACCTTAATCAAAGCAGGAAGTCAGTCAGTCATTTGGGGCCTTGTGGGAAGAAGAACGGGAGCATTTCTTCTTCCCTGGGTGTTGCCATTGTGGAGTAAAAGGTAATCCCGGTGTTGGAGTTGGGAAAGGCCAGTCTGGTAAAAACACCTTGGGCAGTTTAAAAGTGCAGAGGAAGAAGGGTAGATCTCCAAGAGTGCGAAACTGTGCTTATTTGCCATTATGGGAGGCTCAGAGTTGAAAAGGGAATTTCCATTGATACTGAATGTGTCGCTCTTGCAGTAGCTGCGTAAGTAGTCTCAGGGCTCTGCGCATGTTCTGGTGTGTCTGGTGAGAGAGATCAGGAAGGAGCATGATAGGAGTCTTGTTAATAGTATGGTGTCTTGCGTACTGGCCACACGCATAATAGCATCCTTGACCTTGTAGTAATGTACTCTGCACAACGTATCATGAACAAAGGAGGGATCAGGGTTTCTGGGGCCTAATGTCCTGTGCATGTGATCATATTCGATGTGCATATCTTTAGGCTGTTGCAGTAATTGGTTGAAAATAGTAGTAACTGTTGTGGCTAAATCCTTAGACTCTACTGATTCCGGGATATCCGAATTCTGATATTGTTGTGGCAGTTTCTATTTTCTATGCCATCCTGTTGGTACATGAGTTGCTGCAGTAAAATTGTATGGGAGTTCAGGGTCTCTTTGTGAGATTGCAAGGCGTTACAAAGACCATTAGAGGTGTGTTCAATTTCCTCCATGCAAACACAGACATCTTTTTTAATGTCCAAAATCTCCTGCTTGTATGCGTTTTCAATGTGCTTTACGCAATGTTCAAAGTCCTCTTTAGTAGGCAGAGATCTGATATATGAATGTAAGGATCTGATGTGGGACTGCATATCACAACCATCCCAGAGGAAGCATAGAGATGCTTGAGAGAGACTACGTGAGTGCTGGGAAAGCCTGCCTGAGTCCCCTGGGGATGAGAGACGGTCTTGGGAGCTCACCTGCAAGTCGTCTTGCAGCCCTGTATCAGGAGGAGAGGGAGACGCCGGCACCATCCTGCCGGCCTGAGTGTGAGAGGCCACGGACCTCGTAAAAAAAAAAAAGTTGCCTCTGGAGCGGGCCCCAACCGGACTTCCTGGGGTTCCGGTGCTGGTTCCTGCCCATTTGTGAGGTTGCAGGATCAGAGGAGAGGGTAAGTATCCCTGCAAGAGCAGAGGGGATCGGGAGCTGCTAAGGAACACGTCTTGCAGCTCCATGCGCCAAGCCATGCCCCACAATAGGTTATATTTAGACACTTTACTTCCATGCCACTAGAAACTACAGCAAACAAGGTTTTATGACACTGGCATTTAATTAAAAAAAATTTAAAAACAGTAAGGAGTGCATTTAAAAAAAAATATTGCAGAGCTATTATAAAACTGCATGTACACTTGTTATGTGTGAATGGGGGCAAACATTAATGTTATTAGGTTATTTTCTCTCCAGGTCAAATGTTATCCTCCATGCAGAATACAGCACATTAAGCAAATACCACCTTTTGGCCACTAGATGGAGCAGATGGTCAGAGTAAACAAATAGTTTCATCTAGTGGCCATAATGTGGTATTTCATGATTCATTCTACAGTATATTTTATTGAAGATTAACATCTGACCTGGAGAAAAAAATAGCCTAATAGCATTTGTTTTTTTTCCCCACATAACAATTTTTTTTTCACACAGAACAAATGTACATGTAGCTTCACAGTAGACATTTTTTTTTGATAAATGTGACCCTGTAGTGTAACTGATCCTAAGAACAAGTATGATTATACTAGGTAGCCAAACTAATGTAGTCAAACAAACAGCCTCCCACACTGCACAAAAAAAACAAAACAAAAAAAAGCGATTGACTATTATTATAATGACTATTATTCTCTTCCTTCATATTTTTTTGAGGGTCAAAATGAGCCTGATATCAGAATCCATAAAAGAGGCATACTTTATAGATTACTGGGAATGCATTTTAGCCCTAGATGGTAGAACTCTCTGATGATTCAAATTCTTAATCCACCTGCATGTTAACCACAATTTGGAACAATATTCTTAGCTCCTCCCTTTATTAATAACCCAGTTAGAAACAGTACAATGCATGACCCATGTGAGAAGGCAAAAGGCATATATGATGCCCCCAAAAAGTTGAGCTAAAATCTGCTGTTGCATCCTTATGCTGCTCTCTCCACTACATTATTAAATCAAGCCTAATGCATGACTGCTTATTTTTACACATTCACAAATTGTCCACAAATGCAACTTTATTTCTGTATTTGTTATTTTTCTAGGAATACTAAATTTCTATATTTAGTACTCTTTACCATGACAATTTGAGGCTGTGGTTGCTAGGGAACACACAGGAGAAAATCCCATAGAGATCACCGATTCATCTATGCATCCATGAAATGTGCCATATTTAGTACATTTTTATGATTTACTTAGGAGGAATAAATGGTGACAAAACTAAACTTACTTGTTTCATTTCACTCCGTAGCCTAGTAATCCCAGATCTTTCAGTCTTGGTGGCTCCTGTGTGTCCCATTTCATGGATTGAAATAGCCGGGCTGGTTGCACTTGAATCAATTGGACGCACTAGGGAAGTAGCAACAGAAAAGTATTCTGAGACAGCAAATTCTGCAAAATGCTCTTTTCCCTTTACTGCCTTTACCATCAAGTAGACAAAGTCAACAGAGAGGAGAAGGGCCTGGATGATTACGGGTAACTGAAAACAAGCTTTTAGAAAAGTTTCTTAGTAGGGATGAGAGGGGGGTAACATTACTCCAGATTTTGCCTTATAATTGCTTATTATATATCTAAAGCCAAACTTTCTTTTTTCATTTTGGTAGAGTTGGAGACTATTATAACTGCTATCAGTTTTTTTTGTCTGTGTCTCTTTCAAAGATCTCCCTTCACTTCACGTCTTGTAGACACAACAGAAAGTGGCAGAACATCTCTCTAAATGGAGTAAATCCCCTCATAGACAGTTGTCACTAGAACAAATTGTCCAAATGGTAAATTTCTTTTCTCCTCCTGTTCTGGTGACTCAAAATATTGTGTTTCCCCTCCCATTTAGTCCCAGTGGTCACCAGAATAAATAGAGAAGGTGATTCTCTTAAACAGGGACCCAGACAGCAATAAAACCCTTGGGAAAACAGGAAGAGGAGCACTGGAACCCTAGGATTATTCTATAAATATAGGAGTTGTGGTATTATTTAGACAGGGAATCTGGATTCTGCACTGGCAGCTTCATCATGCCAAAGGATTTCCAGTTTTCTTGTTTAGTAGCTAAATTAGTCTGAGACTAAAGTGTCACACTAAGAATTAATCGTTCAGATATAAATCTATTCCAGTATAAAATGGGCAAAATACTTTGTCACAAAGCTAACGCATTTCAGGTGTCAGATAGTGTCTTCTTCACCAAGGCCTGAAGATGAGTACTGAATTAATAACATAAATTAAACGGTATTATAACTAGACAAGTGCTGAGTTTGTCAGCAGCTGTTTGGAGCTGCACACTGTATAGAGGGATTGTGGAGTAAACCAACTCTTTACTTTGGCGTAAAGAATTAAAGAATTACATTTCATCATATGACATTATTTGGACCAGAAAACAAACTAAAGCAGAGTTTGTACAAAACAAAAAAACAGAATTGGGTGGACTGGGCCATGAACCCTTTCATCAATGGTCTGTTGGATCCCCCAGTGGTCTCTTGGATCTACAGTGGCCATTCTGATTTATATCACGATGTTTCAACATTGTCACAACTCATTCACTTACTGCTCCGTTCCACACCAAACTCCTTTCCGCTCAAGATGTGATGAAGAAGATTCTTCATATCAAAAGGACTAAGACTCATCAGACTTTCTGAGGCTTCTTCACCTGAAATTACAGGATGCAGGACATTTATTAAACAGACATGCCTGGGAAAGAGTAATTGTTAATGCATTACTAGATAATGAGATACAATGTCTGACATTTGTTAAGGAGTCATTTTCATAATATAGGCAGTAAAACTGAATTCCAACAAACAGAAGAATAAAAGAGTATGACTAACCTGAACAATTTAAGCTGCGGGCAAGTTCCGTGGCCATCACCTGGATGATTAGACCAATCCGAAGCCTGAGCATTTCTCCAAAAAGACTGGGCTGGGAGCGAACATACATGGCCAGATACAGCATGATCTCCTGCAAAATGCACATATTAGTGTCTGATGGTTCTGAATATACCTCAGTGTCTCCTTTATCAAGACTGTCATCAAAAACATAAAATTCTATACTGAAAGTGGAATGTATATACTATATATATAGAAAATAGTAGGCATTTATATTATTCTTTTTAATGTAGGGTCCACTTTTTTAGTTTTTGGAGTAAAGATTTTTTAAGCCCCCCAACAAATTGTAGGTGAGGTCAGCAGGTATTAAGATGTCATTTAAGAGGTTTACCCGGATTGACAAAACTGAGGAAATGGAGGAACTGATTTCTGTAGCTAAGGAACATCCCGAGAGATTCAGGAAAACATGGGCATGTTGGAGTCGTTTCAAATCCACCCCTAACTATCACCTAATAGTACACGATCAACCAAGACCATCTGGCTGAATGTCTAACTACAATGCGGTAGGGGGATATACTCTGATAACCGAAGACACTTCTCTCATACACAAGGATGGTATGTTCATCTATATCTCAACATGCTTTCTGGGGTTTTTGATACCTGCGTTACCCCACTGACAGATCCTTCATACAGCTCTAGCAATACCTGTCTGGCTGGGCCAATACATGAGGATGTAATGCCTTCTTCCCCCCCCCCCCCTTTTTTTTTTCTCTTCCCCAACATCTCACCCTATAATTCTTTCTACTTCTGTCTTTCTTTCTAACCTCTTGTCTTCACACCTGTTATTTCCCTGTATCATTTCTTCTCTACCAACCAAATAGAGCATTTACCTACACACAGATATGACTAACTTCAACCATAGCACATACGCTAGCTATAAATATGTAAACAATGACCGCACAGTACCCAACGCTTTCCCTACCCTTACCCCTATCATCACACTACTTTACCATTAAAAAGTTGATGAGAGTCAGGACGAGATAACATTCACTAACATCATTTTATCCATTTTCCTCTTGGTATCCACCATTTTACTTTTTATGATGGATGTACTGTTCTACATGATTTCGTCTTGCACAACTGTTTACAATTTGTCCCATCTGCGAAACTGAAAGCAACATGTCATGTCTATGTTTTGACTGTGATCTATGGCTGTACATGCTCTAAATGCTTTTGTCTTCTCTTAAAACAATAAAGTATTTTTGGAAAAAAAGATGTCATTTAGGAAATAAACACCATATTGCTTATTGCTAAATGACAAATAAACACCTACTATTTGAAGAAAGTATACCTAAGCATCCCTTTAAAATAGGGGCACCTCTGCTGACCTCATCTCCAATTTTTGGAGGGATCAAAAATCTGTATTCCACTACATACCCGGATCAAACAATTGCACTGTGAAATCTCATCCAAACCACCCTGACAAGTATTGAGAATGACCACTTGATGTATCTGCAAGGAGGCATATCTTTTGCAGGTTTGCTTTGATCCCTGTTGGGCTTCCTGCAACTGTATAGATGTGAGTATATGCACCAGAATTACTTTGTCCTCTTTAAAACCCCTTCCTTTTTTCCTATTATTTACTACACTTGTACCATCTCTTGCATAGAATTTTATCCCATTTTTGTCTTCCTTTTCCCCTGATCTTCTGAAGAAATTCTGCATTTAGTTTTAGATATTAGCCTTCCTTTGAATGTTCAATGTTTTATTTTTTCGACCTTTTTGTCCTGGGTTTCTCTTTCTTTTTTTTTGTATACCTTGTGTTAAAACTCAATAAACATTTCTTTAAAAAAAAAAGATATTAGTCTTCACCTGCTGTCTCCCCTTTTGGATCTCTGGTTGGTGCCTGTGCTGAGCAAGCAAGCAATCAATCACCTATGTTCACTTAGCAGCAGGGCAGCTGCTTGACATGGGATCTGGAAGGTAGCAGCAATCACTGTAGAAGTGGTGCCTATTACAGTAATTTACAGATTGCACGGGGATCCCACATGTATATATGGCACATACATACTTACATTGATCCAAGCTATACCAATCACCCCTGCTGGCTACTGTATGCTGACAGCCACAAGAACATTGGCTGTCAGAATATAGTACCCAGCACGGTAGATTCCTCCATCCATGCTGTATTTCTTATTCAACCATCGGGGGTTAGTGAGACAAATCTTAATGTGTATGCCTAGCCTAAATCTGTAACAAACAATCAAACTGCGAGTGTTTTTTTACACGTATACTCTTTCCTCTCTCAGTATGACCAAAATTACATTTGTTTTCAATAAATTCTCTTTTTTTTTCAATTGAACACTGGCTGAATTTGATTTGGATTTTCTTGCAAGAATTTTCCGCCCAGCTCCATCTGATTTTTAGATCCACGGTGGTTGAGCCAGGTGGTGCTGCATATGGCATTATACCAGCATTAATGAGACACCATTCAGACAATTGTGTAATGAGGTACATTGTTTTCTCAGCACACTGGGAACTCTCCCATGATGTCCTACCTGTGTGAGTACAGCAATACTGATATCCTGACCACTAGCTTCATAGACCAAGGCAGCCAGCTCTTCTGGAGGTAAAGGCCTATGTGGGGAAAAGTAACATACATATGTTTCCAAGAAATTTTCCTTCTCAACATCACACTTTAGCTTTAACCACTTAGCCTCTCACACCTGTTCACCCCTATAGGCCAAAGCATTTTTTACTTTTCTGCTATGGGCCTGTTCATTTGGCAAAACGTCATTACTTAAGAGAACAAGGAAATTTATATATTGTTTTTTAAGGACAAACAAGGCTTTCTTTTTATGATATGGTCTTGCAACAATGTTTTTTTTTTTCCCAAGACAATGAAACACAACAAAACTATAAATAAATAGTGTTAATGCACATAAAAGTGTGCATTTTATTCTGTAATTTGTCGTGGCTAAAAAGACACTAAAATTATGATTATGGTACAAAGCAGTGCAAAGTTATTTACAAATTAATTAAAGTGTTTTTTTTTTCAATTTTGCACTTTTTTAAATGAGCTTGTGTAAATATATGTAACAAACAAAACAAAAACAAAAAAAAAAGGTTTAAATATTAAAAAAATGAATATTAATAAATTTGAAACAAACAAAATAAAATCAGCAAAAAAAAATAGTAGCTGAAAAGAGAAGGAGGCTAAGGAGTTAATTAGGGCTGATTATAGTAAGCTAAGAATTACTAAGGGGTTTAATAGAGGAACAGTTTATTAGAAAACAAACAAGAAGGCTTTTTATACTTGTCAGGATGCTTTAACTTGCATCATCTGCAGATCTAAGTTCATCCCTTTGATCTGGAGATGAATGAACAGAAAGACACAAATGCAACAATATGTTACATTGTATCTTTGTATAATTAGCAATTAGTTAAACAATTTACACTGCTAATGTAATATTAAGATAATTGTTTTTCCTTTAATTATATAACTAAAAAATATAAAATAAGTGCCCAAAACTTCAATTTTTGTCTCCCTGATCACACCCTTTACTGGTATGTGATGTCTATCACAAATGGCTTTTAAAATACTGCTATACTTACGTGTATATATACGTAGTATATTCTTATTCATAGTGAAAACTCTTCTAGCAGGAACTGAAGTGTATGCTTTTATAACTACATAAATGTAAACTATTGCACAAATACACAGTGCTGTAACAGCAGTATTGTGGTTCTGTAAATAGCTATTTCAGACATGTAACATGGCTCCCTTTGGTTTACATAAAGTCATTCGGGCGTGTTGGCAGAATTCAATCATTTACCAGGTCTTCCAGGTTTATGTCTCTTTAGAGGGAAATGGGGAGATGAGAGCAGACAATATGCAGAGGAAAGGGGGAGCTACCAGACACTGTGAAATATGATTTATCTCAAGGGAAACAACAGCGACTGGAGGAAATTTTTGACAGATGACAACAGTAATTAGTGGACATTCACCAGATTGGGGATTGTTTGTAGATCATTCGATATGAGATTCTAAGCGCTCCGTAGTTAAAAGTACACATATTCATTCAATATGAGTTTACAGTATGTAGCTCGCATTGCATATTTCTGGCAGATTGTGCATGATATGACTGCTGAATTAAGGTGTCTACAAAGATCGTAAATTGCCAATTATCTAGTGAAATTCCATTCCTAGTCCAATCGGATTCAGATGGCAGCTGTACTGAGCTTCTTTATTGAGGATTTTCACCCACTGCCGAAATATACGCTGGCAACTGGGTTGTGGGAAGTGTTCAGTTGTTTCTATTTTCAATGTACTTTGGGGTCATGAGATACAGTACACGCATTTTACTGAAGTACTGCCATTTTGTGACTAATGTGATCTGTGCTATGCTGATTGACAAATGTATTTGTGACTGTTAGGTTCACTGTACTCCTTCTCTATGTTCTTTTTCTTTTTTTTACAAATTGTAAACTGTGGCTGTGGATGATTAAAGTGGTCGTAAAGTCTTGTAATGTAACATCCACTGACAGGCAGGGTTTTTATAACAGAGGAGACCCTAGGGGTCTCTTCTGTCAAAAATGTCCCCCCTGCTTGTCAGCAGGTAATGTAATCTGAGCCGCATATCAGAAGCTCAGACCACACTTACGGCCCGCTCTGCGTGCTGCGGTGATGTGACTCCCGTGCGCATGCGCGGGGGTGATATCACTCACGGCGCAGCCATTCAAGTGGCTGAAGATCAGGAACCCGGAAGGAAGACGGGGCGAAGATGGAAGCTGCCGGAGACCAGGGAGAGCTGTGTCAGTGTGGCATTGGAGGGTTCCGTCTGCAGCCAAGTCTGTCATAATGTACTAGTATGCAGTGCATACTAGTACATTATGACCTAAGCCTGCACAGAGGGACTATTTTTCAAATTAACGTAAACAAATTTACTAACCACTTTAAAATAAAAGTTCATTAAAAAAAATAATTTTCTAAAATTCTATATATCACTTACGCTGTAATGGTCTTTTCACGAGGTTCAGGGGGAAGCCCCACTGTTAGCTGCTTTTGGTGTGACAGGATATCAGTGCATGCCTAGAGAAAAGGAAAGTGGCTGTTACATTATCTTTACAATTACAGAAGCTGATTTGGTAATGTTTACAGAAGTCATAAAGCAGGAAAATAATAACAGATTTCTGATATATACCTCAGCAAGCACTTCCACTCTCTTTTTCAGCAGCCCAGAGATGTAGCGGATTAGACCCCACTCTCGGTTAAGTCCGGCTTTGCTGTATAGTTCACTCAGCAGGCAGTGCACGGTGACTCCAGATTGTTCATTCAGATTGGTATCCCACTCTAGTCCTCTGTATAGCATTAAAACAGGCTATTATTATAGGTGTATTATATGTGTTTTAACAAAAATTTCCATCAAAATTGCTTAAAAAAATAATTCCTGCTTTTACCTTTGCTCCTTGCTAAAAATGAATTCTCCAATGTTTTTTAGACTGTAGATAACAATGAATAATGAAAACTGATGGGTCAGAATATGCAAGGAAATATAAATAAAAATAAGTGACATGCTGCTTGAAGCACAAAGTAATCACCCTCAGGATTCTGAATATCAGCTTAGTTTTCCTTTCCTTGGGATACCCTAATTTTGGGGTTCTCTGACATGTAAACACTGGCGCAGCTACTTTTTCCAGCCTAAAGCTGCACACTCTTAAGCCTTACTATTAGCTATTAGCTATAATTGTAAGAGTGACCTTACCAACCAATAGCAGGGGTTCCTGCTATGTGTACCATCAGCAGTTAAAGTGTGGTTATACCCAAAATATTTTATTTTAGTCTTGAATAGAACATTATCATTTGTTGTTAGTGGCCATTTGGAGAGATGCCCCTTAACTTCCTATCCTGTAGATGCAACATGTACAAAGGAAACTCCCTACTACGTCATGAGAATTACATTGTAAAGTTGTAAAAAAAATTTATTTATTTTTTTTTTTCTTTTTTGATGTATATTAATGAGTTGCACATTTTATATATTTTTATATTTGGAGAAATTAAGGGTAATTATTTATAAATTATAGAAATATTATTTGTTAAGAATTGATTTTATTTATTTATTCATAGTTCTAATATAAGGGCGCGGCACCACTTTCCTTTTTAATTTGTTACTTTTTTGTATATTCAATGAGAATATAGTTAGGAGCTTGCGTACTTACCTTAGAACATAGATTTATAGTGGCTCATAGGATATTTTATTTTATTTTTCTTGTACATTCTAAAGTTGGGTATACATGAATAATATTTGTCCTAGCGGAATGAAAAAAAAACAAGATTCCCCCATCCACACAAGCGAGGTGGATGAAGGAATCCTTCCCGGTGTGTCATTGCATTCTGATAGCAGGACTCCTCCGTTGTCAGAATACACCGATCAGCACCACAGCCAACTGGCTGCAGCAGCTGATTAAAATATAGTTTTCCAGTGTGGCTGTTCAACAGAAGTCAATCTATCAATCAAACAGGGGGGACCACACACTGATTGAAATTCAGCTGCTCCCTGCTGAACTGGCCAAATTTTCATCCGTCTGTACCCGCTTTGAAGCAGATGTTACTGGAACAGGTGTTCCAACTAGACGATTCACTTTCTGTTTGTGTGACTAGTATTACCTTTTAGATTTTCCATCACTGGCAATTATGACCAGAAAATAACAGGGGGTGAATCTTTCTAACAGGGACACAAACAGCAATAAAAAGGGGTTTTAATCCCTCACTATGCAATCCAAAACTAAAAAAAAAAAAAATAATATTAATAATAAAAAAAAAATGTGTCTATCTATAGACTTAACAGACAGTAATGTTATGCAGTATTTCTAGAGAAACACACGTGAAATAGATCACTTGGATGTAAATAACCTTACCGTGTGCCTAGATTTGAAACTTCTTGTTTCTAAATATATTTAATACATTGGAGTGGCCAGAACAGCCACCCGTGTCAACTAGGCCACTGTTACAAACTTGCTGAACTGTATTTTCATGATAAATATGTAGGTCCTCATTTTCGATAAATTACAAATAGTAAAACCAGCATCCTTGCTAAATGACTGATGTATGAAAGCTATTTACAGGATAATTCATCTCCTGAGTATACTTAAATTACAAGTTTTTGTTTTACTTCTGACCAAAGACATGTACTGAGGCAATGAACATACTTTCCTGGGTGTCATCAAATTTGTATCTTAGCAGCTCTCATAATTTCTGAGCTCACACTCACATTTGTATGTAAAATCTCTTGAAGGAATCTATGGCTTCCCACTAATGCTGACAAATGTATAGTAATTCAGCGAGCGCTCTATAAGCAGATAGCAGCTAGTACACTAAAAAGGATATATCACGAACCTTAAAATGCAAATGAGAAGGTAAAGTGCAGTGCTAAAAGGATAATAAATGAGGTATATATGCACATAAAAAAATTAGATCAATATAAAGTTCAATCCAAATAAATATAAAATCGTCCAATGGACTGTATGTGGTATAAGGCACCAAAATAATTCCCACACCAGCAGGTAATTCCAAAGCCTGTGACAGGGAATAATATGGCAAAAATGCACACTCACCGACTGCACATAGGATATGCGCAGGTAAATATATGACTCTCCATCTGATGGGGTATAAACATTATGCAGGTGGTGGGCTTCCCTCAAGAGCAGGAGGTCATCAGACTTGGGTGTAGTGCTCCGCTGTTTCCAGAGGTCTCCTTATGCTGTCTAGATGTAAATTATGGATAAAGGGCTCCCTCTTCTGGATATTAGATGGCACCAGAAATTGCTCTGTGGATGCAGAATGCAGAGTACTGCAGAGTACTTGTAAGGGTCAGTGCTGCAGTACTCTGCATTCTTTTTTATATTGTACTGTGCCCCCACTCAGTTTTGTTTCTCCACATGATGCTATTTTACCCAATAAATTTCAAGAAATACTGCACTATTGGCACCCCCTCTTTTCTTTTGGCTCACTTTGGAGGAGCTTTTAGCATCCACAGAGCAATTTCTGGAAACAGCGGAGCACTACACCCCAAGTCTGATGACCTCCTGCTCTTGAGGGAAGTCCACCACCTGCATAATGTTTATACCCCATCAGATTGAGAGTCATATATTTACATGCGCATATCCTATGTGCAGTCGGTGAGTGCGCATTTTTGCCATATTATTCCCTGTCACAGGCTTTGGAATTACCTGCTGGTGTGGAAATTATTTTGATGCCTTATACCACATACAGTCCATTGGACTATTTTATATTTATATTGATCGAACTTTATATTGATCAAATTTTTTTATGTGCATATATACCTCATTTATTATCCTTTTAGCGCTGCACTTTACCTTCTCATTCCCACTAATGCTATTTTCGCTTTTCTTCATAAAATATAGTCCTTGGCTAACTAACTAATCTCATAAAATGTACAATTTGACTGGCCATGTGTTATAAACTTACTTTATGACGTAGAGTATGTACAGTATATCTGCCTGGTCCTGAAGGGTAGGGCATTCTTTCAGTTGTTCCACCAGTTTCTGACAATCAACATTACCACGTGAGTCCCTGGGTAAGTTTAGCTCTGGTTCTTTATTCTGTAATAAAAGCAAACAGTAAACTGTGTAAGCACTTTGATATTAGTTTGTGTATTGTTTCATAAACTAAACTCCAACTAGCTGTACTTGTGCACTGAAAGTCTTGATGAATATCGTAACGAAATTTTATAATATCTGCCCACCCTTTAACATGTGTACAGAGGCATGCTCAGCTGCAGGAAGTGAGAATACCATATTATAAGAGGTTCTACAGTTTCTTATTGTTTTCAATTTTTCAAATAAAGACATCTCACTAATGAACAAAACACATTAGAATTCAATGTAAATATATATATAATTTTAAAATAGCCCCCATGCTGATACAAAACAGAATGTTGAACTACAACTCTTGCTATTTTTTTTGTAGTAAAACACATACCGTATATATAAAACAGTTTAGATATTTTCCATTTTTTTGCTACTGCACACGCCCAAATCTTCAGCAAAATGTTCTTTTTTTTCCCCAACACATAATTGCATGCCTGTGTTCACTTTACTTCACTGGTACAGGACTTATCCTGACTTCATGCCCTATAGCTTGAAGACCTTAGAAGAAAACTAATAGCAAAATATTTCCAACACGTGGAATCCCAGTGGCATACATAAAATACATCGGTTGTGTAGAAGTGGAAAACCCTGTTACTCCTGCGCTTGGGGATGGACTCAATGTCATTAGGACCACATATGGAAATTCTTGGGATACGCACGCCTTGCTGCTCTCAAAGGACCGGGGGAGTCCAAAGTACTGAACAGAGAAAAACAAACAGAGGGCGCACCGGCCTAGTTCATTACCTTAAAAAATGTTTAATGAATGTAAATAATAAGTATTGTACTCACAAATGATCAATAAATAAAAGGCATATCATAAAGGAACAGCTCTGTCAGATTCACACTGCGTGTCTGTCTGTAGTGAGAACGCTGGACATCCAAAAGGCTGATGTGTTTCGAGGATTAGCCTCTTCCTCAGAACCTGAGGAAGACAGAGCTGTTCCTTTATGATGTGCCTTTTATTTATTGATCATTTGTGAGTACAATACTTATTATTTACATTCATTAAACATTTGTTAAGGTAATGCACTAGGCCGGAGCAACCTCTGTTTGTTTTTCTCAATAAAATAAATCGGTTACTTGCCCTCTATGTTACTGTGGCAGTGAGCATTACTTTATTTATGGGCAAAATATACAAACAGGTTGATTAGTACATTTTAATGTAATTCCAGGAGTACCAGGGAAAATTAGTAACCTATCACTTGCCTGTTCATCAATTGGCAGTCTAAAAGAAAAAGAGCACACACAGCATGTCCAGCTATACACAACATTAAGAACCTTGCTGTGTTTTGCTCGTACAATTTAATCATATGTCTGCCTAATGATAAAGCTCTGTATGAGTGAAACATATCATAGCATTTTAATCTGATACATCTTTTTATGATCTGTAATGCAGGCCAAAGATGGGTCGAAAATCGGCCGATTTGTCGGCCGAAAATAAAATCGGCCGATTTTCGGATCGTTAGTGGGCGATTTGGTCGGCCGTTTTTCGGGATTTTGGCCGTTTTTTTTTTTGGTAAAGTTGGAAAAAAATCGGCCGATCGGCCGATTTTCGCGGCATTAATGGGCCAATCGGCCGATTTTTTACCGATAAAAAATCTGCGCATGAGCAGTGACCTGCAAGAGGAAGACAAAAAGAAGAAAAAGAAGAAGAGGAAGAGGATGAAGAAGAGGATGAAAAAGAGGATGAAGATGAGGATGAAGAGAGGATGAGGAAGAGAAGAAGAAGAGGATGAGGATGAAGAAGATGAGGATGAAGAAGAGGATGAGGAAGAAGAAGAAGAGGGTGGGGATGAAGAAGATCAGGATGAAGAAGAAGAAGAAGAGGATGAGGATGAAGAAGAAGAAGAAGAGGAGGATGAGGATGAAGAAGAAGAAGAGGATGAGGATGAAGAAGAAGAAGAGGATGAGGAAGAAGAAGAAGATGAGGATGAGGATGAAGAAGAGGATGAGGAAGAAGAAGAAGATGAAGAAGAAGATGAAGAAAGAAGAAGAAGAGGATGAAGAAGAAGTAGATGATGAAGAAGAAGAGGATGAGGATGAAGAAGAGGATGAGGATGATGAAGAAGAAGAGGATGAGGATGATGAAGAAGAAGAGGATGAGGAAGAAGAAGATGAGGATGAGGATGAAGAAGAGGATGAGGAAGAAGAAGAGGATGAGGAAGAAGAAGAAGAAGAAGAAGAAGAAGAAGAGGATGAAGAAGAAGATGAAGAAGAAGAGGATGAGGATGAAGAAGAAGAAGATGAAGAAGAAGAAGAAGAAGAAGAGGATGAGGATGAAGAAGAAGGTGAAAAAGAAGAAGAGGATGAGGATGAAGAAGAAGATGATGAAGAAGAAGAAGAAGAAGAAGAAGAGGAAGAAGAGGATGAGGATGAAGAAGAAAAAGAAGAGGATGATGAAGAAGAAGAGGATGAGGATGAAGAAGAAGAAGTAGGATGAAAATAAGAAGAATTCCAGTCCAGCAAAAAGTATCTCTGCAGAGAGCTCCGCTATTTCTGACAGTTCTCTGACAGTTCTTTGACATTTACAGCGGTTGAAACATTGTATCTATTTGTTTCCGAATAAAAAACATCTGTATCCTAAATGGAAACAAATAGATACAATGTTTCAACCGCTGTAAATGTGAAGGAACTGTCAGAGAACTGTCAGAAATAGCGGAGCTCTCTGCAGGGACACTTTTTGCCAGCTGTAGAAGAGATGAAAATCGGCCGATTTTTTTTTACCATTGATGGTAACGTCGGCCGCTTGAACGACCGAATTTTCATTTTTTAAAAGAAAAATCTGCCGTTTTTTTCCCCATCTATGGCCTGCATTAGTATATCTAAGTCCAGATATGCCATGTGCAGCCTGTTTCTTTTGGAGCGTCAAGAAGAATCAGCGAATTAGTAATGCTATTCAGGAAAAGCTGCAAATATATTAAGATAAGAAATATACCCTTAAATAACCCTAGTCCCTATAAAGCTCTGTAGCCCGAGTCCTGAAAGTACCTCAATGGTTTACTAGGAGTGTACTTTCTGAAGCCTGTGCATTATGACTTTGCTTTCTGCATGGGAAGGGCAGCAGGACATCCTCAGTAGAGGTGATGTCTTGTTAACAACCTGGCTAACACAACTGGCCTTACCTGAGGTTTGTGCATTTGCGGAACTTCTAAAAGATTCAGAGAGCGTCTGTGACCACTCAGATTTTTAGCAGGCAGGAACAAAGAAGAATCTGAAATGATGAAATCATTGCACAAATTGGTAATGTCATGCAATAAACAAAATGCATAAATGATTCATAATTAGTATCTTAGATAAAGGGTGACTATCAACACATTTTGATAATGTCATGAACATTTAAAAAATGTTGCCCCTCTTATTAACCCTATTTGTCAGTGTATAATACAAGATCTCTTATGCTTTCTGAATCGGATTCCTCCCATCATTCTCCTTAACCCATTCACGCCTAAGGGTAAAACAAATCTAAAATGCCTCAGCACAATTTTGCAACATTGACGTGTTAGTAAAACCATACATATCATCACACAACTACTTTGTATATCCAGGTGAATTATACCTTGTTTTCTTTCAGGACAAATTGGGCTTTCATTTGGTGGTAAATGGTAATGGATATCTTCTGATTTTTTTTTTATTATCAAAGGAAAACTGGCCCAAAATAGTAAAAAAAAAAAATTTTTTTTGTTAGCTGTGTGTTTTTCGTCTTACTACCATAACCTACCACCAAAGAACAACCCAAAATAAATTTTCCAGCTCTTGATGATCGTAGTGATACTATATATGTGTATGTTATTTGTTGTTTATACCCGTAGCACAGTCCAGAAACAATAGTGCACATTTTGTTTTTTTGTCTTTTTTTACCTAAAACACACTGACACTAACTGACACCAATTTGTTTTAAATCCTGACCTTTGACCCTGACCTTTTGACATTGACCCAAACACTAACCCTGGCAGTGAACTAGATTAAACCTTGATCTAGGTATTTTTTCTTTCTTTTTTTCTTTTCTTTTCTTTTTTACTATTTATCTTTTTTTTTTTTTAAAATTTTTTTTTTCCCCTTATATGCCAGGAGTTAGAGAGATACAACATATTTCTCTCCTCCATTCATAGAGAAAAAAAAAAACAAGGGGCCGGGCTGTACAGTGACTGTTCACTGTGATAGCCAATCAGAGGCTATCACAGTGATCATGTGACCCGGAATCGGGAGTCCTGGGTCCCGATCGTTAGAACACGATCCGGTGCTCTCAGTGACAGCGTGCGGCGTGCTCCCAGCACAAAGACAGGTATGCAAATATGCGGCCCCATGGAAAAAAGCCCAGTTCTGTGAGGCCACATATTTGTGTAATGTTGGCGTCAAGGGGTTAAGGCTAGGTTCACACCTATGCAGATTGCATTTGAGCTGCTTCTCCATTGCGTTTTTGCACCTGCGTTTTTGATGCATTTTTGATATGTTTTGTGGGGGGGGGGGGGGGGTCATTTTTTAAAACTTTTCTTTTTACTAGGCCAGTGGTGGGCAACCTTTTTTTTCAACTGAGCCAAATCTCGCCAAAACCACGATTGAAATTTATTTTGAGAGCCACATTTTTAAAACTGAAAATACATAGGATGGTACACTGTTTTTAGTTTCAATAAGTTTTTATAGTAATTCATCCCCCATAGTAATTCATCCCCCATATAGTAATTCATCCCCCATAGTAATTCATCCCCCATATAGTAATTCATCCCCCATATAGTAATTCATCCCCCCTATAGTAATTCATCCCCCATAGTAATTCATCCCCCATATAGTAATTCATCCCCCATAGTAATTCATCCCCCATATAGTAATTCATCCCCCATATAGTAATTCATCCCCCATATAGTAATTCATCCCCCATATAGTAATTCATCCCCCATAGTAATTTCCTCCCCCATATAGTAATTCATCCCCCATATAGTAATTCATCCCCCATAGTAATTCATCCCCCATAGTAATTCATACCCCATAGTAATTCATCCCCCATAGTAATTCATCCCCCATATAGTAATTCATCCCCCATATAGTAATTCATCTCCCATATAGTAATTCATCCCCCATATAGTAATTCATCCCCCATATAGTAATTCATACCCCATAGTAATTCATACCCCCATAGTAATTCATCCCCCATATAGTAATTCATCCCCCATAGTAATTCATCCCCCATATAGTAATTCATCCCCCATATAGTAATTCATCCCCCCTATAGTAATTCATCCCCCATAGTAATTAATCCCCCCATATAGTAATTCATCCCCCATAGTAATTCATCCCCCATATAGTAATTCATCCCCCATAGTAATTCATCCCCTATAGTAATTCATCCCCCATATAGTAATTCATCCCCCCTATAGTAATTCATCCCCCATATTAATTCATCCCTCATATAGTAGTAGTAAGTAAGTAGCAAGTAGTAAGCCAAGTCCCTCCTGTGTCAATTCACTTACCTTTGCTCCGCGCGTTCCTCTCGCCATGTTCCCCGCGTCGTTCCGGTCTTCAGGGCGGACTGTGAGAGGAGCCTAGCTCCCCTCACGTTCGTCACGCTGCCCCGCCTACACACATCCTGACAGCCAATCACTAGCTATCAGGATGTGAGTGGCAGCGAGACTGGCCAATCATTGCTGGGCTAGCTGCAGAGTCCTCGGCCGCCCGAGAGGAGGGAAGGGAGTGGGCGCCCGGCACACAGAAGAGCCGCATTAAAATGTGTAAAGAGCCGCATGTGGCTCGCGAGCCGCGGCTTGCCGACCACTGTACTAGGCAGATTTAAAATGCGAAATGCATCAGTGGCATAAACAAGTGACAAAAACGCACTACATGCTTTTCTGCAGCATTTCCATTGAAGTCTATAGAACCAAAAATGCAACTTTTTCCGTTAAAAAAAGTCCCTGTCCCTTTCCAAAAAACGCACCAAGTGAAAACGCGTAGATGTGAACTTTCCCATGGGAAATCATGTTAAATGGACTGTTCTGCGTTTCAGAAAAAAGCTGCAGAAATACGCTTCGCTGTGAACCTGGAGATAAGCCATCCATAGAGGGATCGAATCTCAGCTAGTTCAGCAGGGACTGGATGAAATTCAATTCCACCTGTGGTGGAAGAAAAGAAAATTGTATAATCTTTCAGTGAAGGAAACTGCAATCTTGTTTGATCTTCAGTTGTCGTGTGTACTTGTGGTCAGATATGAAATCAGCCATTTGATGGCTTGACAGTTTAAAAGTGCAGTAGAGCTTTAGGCTTCATTCACACTAGCAATTAATGCCGGTGTGAATAGCAGTGGCAAAAATCAGAGATTCCTGCTGCGGTTCTCAGTGGCTAGGTGCAGCTGGTGGCCCCATTCACTATAATGACAGATCACCGGCAGTTACAGCTATTCGCTGCTCTTTGCACAGCCAGCGATTACCTGTGGTGATTGCAGACAGATGCATACAAAGTGCATCCAGCAGCGATCACCACAGGTAATCGCTGGCTGTACAGACAGCCACAAATACCCGCGACCGCCAGGAGATCTGTCATTTGTGAACAGGGCCGCCAGCTGCACTAGCCACTGAGAACCGCAGCAGGAATCTCTGATTCTTGCCACAAGTATTCACACTGTCCCTATTTGCTAGTGTGAATGAAGCCTAAAGCTCTACTTCTCCTAGATTGTAAGCTCGAAAGAGCAGGGCCCTCAATCCCCTCATGTTTTGCATTGTATTGTTATTGTTCTGTCACATGTTCTGTCCCCCTTTGTAATGTACATAGCTGAGCGAACTATTGGCGCTTTATAAATACTGTATAATAATAATAATAATAATACTGCACTTTTAAAAAACTGTAAGCCATAAATGCTCCCTCACCCCTAACTGAAAACTCTGTGCCTATGTGAGAGGGCAGTGGTCTCTGTCAAGTCTAACATGACTGCTCAACCATGTTACCGCTACAATGCGCCAGTCAGCAATACTGACACTCCCTGCTCATTTGCGCACTGTAGTTGTGACAACATGAGGAGGGTGTGCTGGATCTCTGTACAAAGACCATTGTTCTAACACAAAGCACAACTGCAGCCTTAGAACTGGCTTGGAATTTTAGCTGGGGGTCGGAGAAATTGAGAAAGGAATAAAAAAGTAGGATGTTTAGAGCTTACTATTATCATGCACTTTAAATGTATTGCCAACAATTTTTAACAACAATTGGGCTTTAAAGAAAGCCTGTACTGAAAGAATGTGGAAGCTCCCATTGCTAGCATGCCCTCTCAATACTTTCCAAGGCATTGATCCAGAACAAGTGTGCACAGCAAGAGATCAGACCTTATGCTAACTTTCCTCTCTGCATGATTGTTCCAGATCAGTGACTCAGATGATTGGAGTCTGAAACACCCAGTCAATTAGCATTAAAAAATGGTAGCCAGCAATGACAGCCCGTATATGCCGGCCAGTACAGGTTTCCTTTAAAGAAATGACTGAGCTCTCCTAATTTACTACTGTATTGCCGTCAGGATACAAATATATCCTCTTTTTATTTGCAAAGTGCTGCAGCAAGAGTTTAAAACAATCCCTGTGCTGGCAGCACTAGGAAAGTCAGACTGCCGCTCTCACACACAAGCACCAGCCCAGCTCTCTGTTACACCCCACTGAACACTACTCTAATCAACAGTCCAGTTCAGGGATCGAGAGCAATGTTGATTAGAGACACAGTCAGTGGAAAGTATTGGACTGCAGAAAAGCAGCATGTGTGAAAACTTTTGTCTGACTCTACTATGTGCTGGTGGCACAGGGATTTTAAAAAGGTTAAGAAAAAAAAGCATATTTATTGCTGTACATGCAGCTTGGCTGCATTCCAATAATACCCTGAAATGATTCATTATGCATTAAAAATTTATAGTCAGTGTCCCCCCAAATACATTTTATTTTTTCATAACAAGAGAAATAAGCAGCAGAAAGGAACAATATGTCCTTGCCCCAAGGTGTGTGCAGTTGCAAAACGTGGTTCTTCTGCATGGAATATCGGTTGGCCTTGGAACCCTATATCCACCTATACTGTTATATACCCATGCTATTGGATAAAGCTCTATTTTAGTGCAACCATGCCAGCTCCTCCTCCTCATTTATTCATGTTCATCAGGATTGTCTTGGGAGTTTGAATTCACCTTTGTTGGACCATCTTTAGAAGAGTGCTGCTCGCTCCTAATCCCATCCTACCTACTCACCACTCAATCACTTACTTGGAACTTCAAGGCCTTTAGATTTGGCCATGATGGAGAGAATATCCCGGGTGGAGTGCAGGGCACTGAAGGCATAGTGCTTTGATGAATTAGCCACTATGGGGGGCAAATGAGTGGTAGAGGCCACACTTTGCTGTAAGTGATTTATGTACTGGTCCAGTTCATCTTGTATTTCATCTGAAAAAAAAGAGATGAAATTTACTTTTTCAAAAGACAATACTGCATTTGTGACGGGACTGACATATAAAATCAGAAGCAAAAAAAAGTATGTATTTCCCACAATACTCTACTGCTCAGAAATCACCCAAATGGATGGCATTAGCCCCAAATATACTTTATTCTATTATAAATCAGTCCTTTTGGCATCTAATGCTGGTGATTCCATTTTGCTCTCTGTCAGAAAAGGCTAAAAATTACCTAGATGCCTGACTTACTCTTGAGGACCTGAAGGTATTTGTGAAGGAATCAGCTAATAATAAGGCAGTTGGCCCCGAATACCTCCCTATTGAGAACTTAAGAAAATTGGATCTTTCTTCCAGAACTATCAGAACTATTGAAGACCTTGGAGGGGGCATTAGTTGAAAGAGGCCTCCCCCAATATATGTATGACATAGTGGTCTTGGATATAACAGGGAAAGACCAAAATACTACCCCAATCCTACTGACTTATCTCACTACTCTGCAGATGGTAAGCTTTTCTTGAGTTCTGGCAAAATCTTCAAGGTTATCCACTACAGATACCACCATAAAACCCTGGCAACAGCCAATTTTTCCCTCTACTCTGTAGTGTTCTACACAGGTTCTATTTAGGCATTAAGTTTATAAAATGGGTGCATATCCTCTCCCTGTGCATTGATGGACTCTGAATCTTCCTGTTTGGTAGGGCACATGAGAGGGATGCATGCTGTAACCCCTGTTATTTGTCCTTGTAATAGATCCCCTAGCAGTGGCAGTGAGAACATCAGATACTGTCAGTGATTTCAAAAGGATTTTGGAAATGATAAACATAACATTTGGAATCTTGCCAAGGCAATGTTGATATACTTTTCAACACATGAAAGAAGTGGAAAAAGAGAGAAAGTGGAAAAAACAGAGGGTATTTGTTCTCTGGAAGGCCCTAAATATAATATATAGTATAAATCATATATCAAATATTCACTACAATTATTCACATCACATCAAAAGAAATTTCCTGTTCACTTATTTAGTCTTTCAGTATTCAAAGTAAATAGAAATTTGCTTTTGACATTATTGGACAACTGAAGTGAATATTTACACAATTTATTGAGTGACAATTCTCAACTTTTTTTTTAAGGAATTTGTATTGTTTTATTGTATAAGACAACATACAATGCACATTAAAGTGTAAGTTCACTTTTTCAGAAAAATGAAAAAATGAATTAACACTGTAAAACCTCCCCACCTCCTGTTCCCTGCTGTACTTACCTCTGTGGTGATGAGCTGCCAGTGCCCATGCAGTCTAAGTAGGGATTTCTTTCTACAGCATTTCAAGGATTAATCCATCTGACACCTGACAGCTCATCACCCATGAGAACAGCGGGGACCAGGGGAGTGGGCAAGGTGTACAGTGTTAGTTCACCTTTTTCAGTTTTTCTGAAAAGGTGAACTAACCCTTTAGGCAACAGGTGTCCACTTACGGTTAAGTAATGCTGAGTCTTGGAAATGCCTATGATAGCATACAATATAGTCAAGTACAGTATAAGTCTGAAAGCATCTTATACACTTTGACAATCAATATGAATGACAATGCGTAGGATGAATCTGTGCTGAATGTATTGTGCTATACTAACTGTAGCCAATAACTCTAAGCTAAGAACTCATATTGTTTCATTGTTTGTGATCATATCATTTTCACATGTGGTAACATTATATTATGAAGAATATATTAAAAAACCACAAAAAGAGGTATTGCTCTGTAGGAAAAATAGTTTGCATTTAAAGCCAGTGGGAATAAAGCGTTTCAGACTTTTTTGAACAGCCATGGGCCACAAAGATCATTTTATTAATATGTCAAAACCAATGTATGTGGTTTGGGAGATCAGGGGATTTCCATTGAACAGCTATTACCTTTTTTGTGTATAAGAACAATAAATGCAGGAGCAGTTTCATATGGTTAGGAAGATCGGAATCTTCCATATAATTCAACAGGCATCTAGCAAGATTACATATGTCAGGTAAAATGAAAAGAGAACTAATGAAGTCTCTGATTACACACCAAAAGGCCCATATGATCGGGGGGGGGTCAAAAAAAAAAAAAAAGATATAACGGTTGCAGCATCGGATATTTGGGGGATGCTCAGCTTCTTTAGTAAATAAGTCTCACTACATGTAAGCTGGCAAATTTGTATTTTAACGATGTAATATTGTTTTTTTGCAGAATGGTAAACAAATGGCTGAAATATAAATTTTCAGCAGATCCTCTAAAACAAGAAAAAAATAAAACTGGAAACAAAAAGGTGTGGAGAAAACAATGACAATAGAAGAAGACATACAGAAAGGGTGAAAGCCTTAGGTCACACTACTTTGACTTGTTGATTTAGTCCATGAAGGCAAAAGGCACCATAAAGCACACCAGTGCTGATGCCTTGCAGCACCAGAATCCTGGATCCAGTTCCCTCACAAATGACCCTATCTGCATGGAGCTTGAATTATTGTTCTTTTGAGTATTTAAAAGGAACTTTAATTTTCTCCCACTGTCCACAAACATACTGGTAAGGTATTCAGCTTCTAAAACTATGAGGGGCATTCAAGTCAAACCGGGACTTCATTTTACAGGTATAAAAAGGGATGTTAGGGACGGTACTACACACAGTAGTAAGTGGCAAGTGTGTCCTAATCCTGGTAGGCAGTGCACATGGAGCAGGCCAGTCCAGAGACCTTTAATGAAGATGGCAGGCAACAGTGTTAGTGCGTGCATGGAACAGCGTGTGGTGATGAAGTTTCTTGTGAACGAAGGTGTAAAACCCACGGATATCTATAGAAGACTACACAGTACAGTGATGAAACGCTCAGCCGCAGTAAGACATTTGAATGGTGTAAAAATTTCAAAGATGGCCATACGTCTGTTAGTGACGATCCCGGTCGTGGTGGTTCCCAGTCCACAGCAATCATTCCTGTGAACATTCAGCGTGTATAACACCTGATGCTGGATAATCAACGCATAACCTGTTGTGAAACTGCACAAGAGACAAATCTTTCTGTGGGAACGGTGAACACAATGATGACGAAGTGAAGCAGGCTGTCATAGGATAGTTCAGGCATACTGACAAATCTTTCTATGCTGAAGCTTTCCAGGCATTAGTCAAGTGCTGGGAGACGTGTATAAATGTAGCAGGGGAGTATGTCAAAAAAATAAATGCAGTTTTCATTCCTAGAAATTTGTTCTTTTATTATATAAACTCAAAAGTCAAGGTTTGACTTGAACACACCACGTAGCTTCAGATTTTTTTTGTGTTTGTGTGTATGTGTATGTACAGTCAGGTCCATAAATATTGGGACATCGACACAATTCTAACATTTTTGGCTCTATACACCACCACAATGGATTTGAAATGAAACGAACAAGATGTAATTTAACTGCAGACTGTCAGCTTTAATTTGAGGGTATTTACATCCAAATCAGGTGAACGGTGTAGGAATTACAACAGTTTCCATATGTGCCTCCCACTTTTTAAGGGACCAAAAGTAATGGGACAATTGGCTTCTTAGCTGTTCCATGGCCAGGTGTGTGTTATTCCCTCATTATCCCAATTACAATGAGCAGATAAAAGGTCCAGAGTTCATTTCAAGTGTGCTATTTGCATTTGGAATCTGTTGCTGTCAACTCTCAAGATGAGATCCAAAGTGCTGTCACCATCAGTGAAGCAAGCCATCATTAGGCTGAAAAAACAAAACAAACCCATCAGAGAGATAGCAAAAACATTAGGTGTGGCCAAAACAACTGTTTGGAACATTCTTAAAAAGAAGGAACGCACCGGTGAGCTCAGCAACACCAAAAGACCCGGAAGACCACAGAAAACAACTGTGGTGGATGACCGAAGAATTCTTTCCCTGGTGAAGAAAACACCCTTCACAACAGTTGGCCAGATCAGGAACACTCTCCAGGAGGTAGGTGTATGTGTGTCAAAGTCAACAATCAAGAGAAGACTTCACCAGAGTGAATACAGAGGGTTCACCACAAGATGTAAACCATTGGTGAGCTTCGAAAACAGGAAGGCCAGATTAGAGTTTGCCAAACGACATCTAAAAAAGCCTTCACAGTTCTGGATCAACATCCTATGGACAGATGAGACCAAGATCAACTTGTACCAGAGTGATGGGAAGAGAAGAGTATGGAGAAGGAAAGGAACTGCTCATGATCCTAAGCACACCACCTCATCAGTGAAGCATGGTGGTGGTAGTGTCATGGCATGGGCATGTATGGCTGCCAATGGAACTGGTTCTCTTGTATTTATTGATGATGTGACTGCTGACAAAAGCAGCAGGATGAATTCTGAAGTGTTCTGGGCAATATTATCTGCTCATATTCAGCCAAATGCTTTAGAACTCATTGGACATCGCTTCACAGTGCAGATGGACAATGACCCAAAGCATACTGCAAAAGCAACCAAACAGTTTTTGAAGGGAAAGAAGTGGAATGTTATGCAATGGCCAAGTCAATCACCTGACCTGAATCCGATTGAGCATGCATTTCACTTGCTGAAGACAAAACTGAAGGGAAAATGCCCCAAGAACAAGCAGGAACTGAAGACAGTTGCAGTAGAGGCCTGGCAGAGCATCACCAGGGATGAAACCCAGCATCTGGTGATGTCTATGCGTTCCAGACTTCAGGCTGTAATTGACTGCAAAGGATTTGCAACCAAGTATTAAAAAGTGAAAGTTTGATTTATGATTATTATTCTGTCCCATTACTTTTGGTCCCTTAAGAAGTGGGAGGCACATATGCAAAGTGTTGTAATTCCAACACCGTTCACCTGATTTGGATGTAAATACCCTCAAATTAAAGCTGACAGTCTGCAGTTAAAGCACATCTTGTTCGTTTCATTTCAAATCCATTGTGTTGGTGTATAGAGCCAAAAATGTTAGAATTGTGTCGATGTCCCAATATTTATGGACCTGACTGTATAAACATATAGTAGCAATAGCAGCAAATTCTGAAACACAATGTGGGAAATTGCTAAAAACATTTTAATTCATAGGGTTAATACCAAGCAAAGTTCAGCTGCGCTGCAGATTTTTTGATGTAATTGTAATACAATGGGAAATGTGTAGAGATCAGTGTATTTCAGTCCTGTGATTTCATTCATACTTAGTTACCCTGTTCCCTTTTTTACATTCATTATGGTGTTGTTGGGAATACTAAACAGTAAGCTTCTTTGGTTAGATAAAAAGGGACAGAAGTGACAGCTTAAACAACCATTTTCAAGTAGTGAGAAAGATGTTAGCACAATCTGAATTAAAAATAATGAAGCTCCAATGCTGATTACACAGACCCGCAATATAAATGACATCTTTAGACATTACAGGAGGATATAAGGATGCCTACCATTTTCTGTTTGCTCTGCTTGAAATCCAGCCAATTCATATTCATAGTCATTGTCTGGGCTATAATATCCTTCGCTATCTCCATCTAAAAGCTTTTCATCACAGTCAACATCCAGGAAACTCAGGTGAGTGAAGAAGGAGGTGGTAAGAAAATCGGCCAATTTCCCCTGTTTAACCCTGAAAGCAAAGTGAGTTCATGAGTTAAACCTGGAGAATCTTACACGTGTGAAGGGCAGAAGGCAAAAAGAGGTTATGTCAGCCAATGCAAAAAACAAAATTCAACAGTGCTATTCCATCTACCTTATAAAGTAAACCTTTCATGAGGGCTGCAATGGCTAACATCTCTGAAAATGCTAGTTGCTTGGTTGGCTATGCAGACTCTTGGCCTTCTATACTTTCTGACCAAAGACTTAGAACAAGTATGCAGACCAGAGAATTCTTAAAAGTCACTTTTAGATTTTTCTTGTTTAGCCCGCAAAATAAACTTGCTTTCACCATCCATACTAAATAGCATGAATGGAGGAATCACCGCTGCCAGCTATTGTATTCAAGCAGCCAGGGAACATGTGCTTGCCTGAATACCAGAACATTGACTACTATTGATAAGATGTATTCACTACTCAGTTGGGAATTTTTTATCCGGCCCAGTCAATTTTTGCCGAAAGGGCCACCCACACTTTAAATTTCAACCAATTCATCAGGTGTCGCCCAAAACTTGAGCAGTGTATGGCTAGATTAACCATCTGAAGCTTTAGCCTTTTTTTACAAAGACTTGTAAAAGTGTCACATCAGACAGTAACTTTCTCTCTTTTTCTGCATTGGGAGATAGATAAAGAGAATCTGTTTGCTTGCTTTGGACGGCACAGTTACTGTCAACAAACCATGACAAGCAAGGCTTCACATCATGTTTGTGTAAATATGTCTTTAAATATAGATTACGTACCTTGCTCCTCCAAAATATCCATCATCAAGTTTTCTAATAGTTGAAAGAATAGCAGGGTCTATGTCAGAGCCATCCTCATCTGGGGAAAATATACAAATATATATTTTTAGTTCATTAAAAAATAAACTTGACAATAAATAGGATTCAGGACAACTGCAGCTAAAACACACACCTGATTACTATGTCTAGCTGCCGATTCCCTAAACTACAGTATACGGTATAATCCAAATGTAATATCGAATTAAGTAAAAATGCAAAGCTTGTAGTATCTCTAAAACGAAAGGCAAATTCTCCCAAACCTTTACCATAACTAAACTGTAATGTAATCTGAATGGAGAATCCAGGAGTAAGAATGAGAACCCTTTTTAATACTTGAAGCCATTATGAGTAGTAATCTTGATGTAGGATCAATTGCTATTAGTATACAGAAGCAGGCAATTCAATATTATTGTTATTTTTATTATTATTATTATTATTATACAGGATTTATAAAGCGCCAACAATATACAGTACTTTATACATACACACACAAAAGCTATCAGTATTTATACCATAAATACATAAAAGTGCAGTGCTTAAAAAGTTACAAATAATCATAAGAAAACAGTGAAAAATGTGTCAAAAAAATAGTCCATCCAAAAATAAAATAAAAGTCCCAGAGGCTGTGATGCAACAAAACAGCACAGTTGCCGTGTCACCAACCACTACTACAGAAGGCTTACCAGAAAGGCATGACCCCCTGTTAAGAGTGGTCAATCGCACTTTGTTAAACAATCCAGAAAGCCGGTCACTTGACTGGCAAAAAAATCCAAATGTTCCAGTTTCCAAAATGGCCGCCGGCCGTTCGCGTATGAGCAGTAGCGTGTGTGCGTGGCTCCACCCTATGCATTTCATCACAGGTAACGTAATCAGGTGGAGTCACACACACACGCTACTGCGCATGCGCAAATGTCCGGCAGCCATTTTGGAAACTGGAAAATTTGGATTTTTTTGCCAATCAATGCCTAATGATTTTTGCTTACATGTGAGTGCAACCATACTTTAAATAAATGTTGTGATTATGGATTTACATTGTGTGGAGCGTTCTTTCTTTGCATGTTTTCCACTACCAGTCCAAGCCTGAATGGTTTAGCTGCCCTAATTAAGGTCCATTGTTTGGAAGATCCTTATTTGCTGTTTTGGTGATCTGGAGGAGGATTCGAGTGACCGGCTTTCTGGATTGTTACTCTTCCATTTTGCTTGAGGTGATTGTAGCCGTATTAGTGCACTTGCGACAGAAAATTGAGTACTGATGTGATACTTTTTTTTATTTGCACTAATTTTGAGGACAAGCTTTCGGGGTATGTCCCCTTCTTCAAGGTCCAGGCAGTACTTTTTTTCCTCCCCCTTTCAACATCTCTCCTAACATTCTGCTAAAACTTTGTAGTAGTACTGCTTGGACCTTGAAGAAGGGGACATACCCCGAAAGCTTGTCCTCAAAATTGTATATTAGTGCAAATAAAAAAAAGTATCACGTCAGTACCAATTGTTTCTTTGGATTGTTTAACAAAGCACAATTGACCACTCTTAACAGGGGGTCATGCCTTTCTGGTAAGCCTTCTGTAGTAGTGGTTGGTGACAGGACAACTGTCTTCGGATTTCTTTTGTTTCATCACAGCCTCTGGGACTTTTCTTTTATTTTTGGATGCATTATTTTTTGACACATTTTTCACTGTTTTCTTATGATTATTTGTAACTTTTTAAGCACTGCACTTTTATGTATTTATTGTTGATTGCCTAGTATCAGGGTTTTTGTGTTCAGCTGCTATATGTTTTACACCTGATTTTTGATTATTGATTATCTATTGTGGTTCTCATTAGCACAGGTTTATATATATATATATATATATATATATATATATATATATTATATATATTCCCTCCTTGTTTGTGTATTTTTACCAGTTTTGTTAAAAATTAAATACATTACTGAGCATGAAGTGGGTAACGGGAAACGTGAGGGTCGGTCTTCCAGTCATTCTCCAGCAGGAGGTCAGGTAAGCCAATTCAGTTCGGAGCATCTCAACAACCATTTTGCTGTCCAGAGCCAAGTAGAAGTGGTGCTGGTCTGTAAACTGTGGAAAGAAAAAGGTGTCATGCAAAACTAACAGTGCACTGTACAGTATATCCTGTTTCATGAAAGTTATAACATGGCAAATTTTGGTAGACCCTATGGAGTTGCTTCACTAAAACTGGAGAGTACAAAATCTAGTGCAGCTCCGCAGAGAAACCAATCAGCTTCCAGGTTTTTTTGTCAAAGCTTAATTGAATAAGCTGAAGTTAGAAGCTGATTGGCTTCTACTATGCACAACTGCACCAGATTTTGCACTCTCCAGTTTTAGTAAACAGACTCCTATCTGTTGATGCAGTCCTATCACAACCACTTAGAAAAATGAATAAAACAAAATACAAATTTGGATTTAGTTAAACCGGCCATACATAGATCAAAATTCTACTGAACAGGGCAGATTTCGATCCAGGTATGGGCAGGCTGGTTGTACAGAAGTCAGTCCACCAATCGACTTCTGTACAACCACCCTGTGGGATATGTCTTAGTCGATTAGTGCCACTGTCTATAGCCGACACCACTGATCAGTGTATTCTGATAGTGGGGAAGTCTCTTCACTGACAGAATACAATAACTCAGTGGTAAGGATTGCTCCATCCACTTTAGAGTATGTGGATGTGTGAATCGGGTCAATTTTTACGTTCAACCCACTGGTTGAACAAAAAAAAAAATAATGTATGGGCTGCTGAACAGGCTGAATTTTGATCCAAGTATGGGCAGGCTGGTTGTACAGAAGTCAGTCCACCAATCGACTTTTGTACAACCACCCTGTTGGGTTTGTCCCACTCAATCAGTGCCGCTGGCTATAGCCAGCAGCGCTGATCAGTGCATTCTGATAGTGGGGAAGTATCCCCACTGTCAGAATACAATAACTCAGCGAGAAGGATTTATCCATCCACTTTGAGTATGTGGATGGGGGAATCGGGTCATTTTTTTTCATTCAACCCACTGGTTAAACAAAAAAACATTAATAATGTATGGGCTGCCATAGACTTCTGTAACTTTTAATTTGGTCTGCTAACATAAGCAAAACTATAATTTTACAGATATACTTGTTTTCTTACACCCACCTGAGGAGTGAAAGTGAAGATCTGATTCCTAATTGTGTACAGTTTAGATGTTCCCAGGACTCCAATGTGGCGGTAAGGACGTCCACTCAGTTTCATGGCCTTATTAATGCCTGTAAACATGAGGATAAGATTTTTACTACATGCACAATATTACTTGGTTTACGCCCATTGGTAAATTCATTTCTCAAAGGTCCATTAAACTGAAAACACAAGCTGCTTTATTTATTATTTCTGCCAATTTACATGAAGCAACATACATATATACAGGCTCACTTATTAAAGGAGTTGGGAATCTTCACACAATAAATAGTGTTTACCTTTTCTTCAGTTATCCAATCACATAGAAAATAAATTCCTATTTACCTATTTCATTTGCATGACTGGATAATTTGAGTGAATATTAAAGTGTTACTAAACACACAACAGTAAAATCAGTCTGTATATGTAGTAAAGCATGCTTGTTATACTCATCGTGGAACCTAAGGGGTTGATTCTCTGCATTGTATAAAAACACTGTTTGATCCTGTCTTCTCTGATCCTCCCCTTCTTCCAGTGTCCCCCTCTTATCTCCTGATAATACATATCATGTGGAGTTACTCTGCACAACTGCTCAGTTTGCTGTGCATTGCTAGAGAGGTTTTTTTTTTTCTTGGGAGAGTGCATGTGATCAGCACATGGCCAATCAGCGCTGTTCATAGGTCAGGGGTTCCACATCTTCCTAGAGCAAAATGAAAACTCCTCTTACAAGCTTTAACATGTGCTCTGCTGGACACTGATAGAAGTCGCAAGACTGCTCTAACTTCAGATGAGAAAAGGTATTTAGCAGTTTGTATTTACTAAAATCATTGCATTTCATGTTGTGTGTACTGAGGGAGACCAGATATAATGAATGCAGGGCCCTGGGTTTAGTAACACTTTAAGACAATTTATTGTCTGAAGATTCTCGGCTCCTTTAGTAAATCAGCCCAATAGTTTGCATTTTGCATTGCTCTTCACGTGTGCATTGATGAGCATTTTCTCAGTTTTTTTGCTTATGTTGTCTACTTGTGGTAGAGAAGTGTTTAACAACAGTCAAAGGCAACGGGGGGGGTTGGGGTTTGAGTGGGGTGTCCCCTTCAGACCATTTGTACTGCTGTTCTGCCTGAAGACCCCAATCTGTTAACCATTGCACTGCTGGAAGGTCAGAGACAGGAAGGGGAGTCATATTTCAGATAAGTGATGTGACTAAAGTTAAAGGGAATTTTTTGGGGTTTTTTTTTTTTTTGCTAAACTTCAGCTTGAATCCAGCTCTTTGTTAAAGTGGCTGCAAAAGCAGAAGGTTTTTTATCTCACCACTATGCAAAAAAGGTAAAAATAACAACTTCTACGTGTAGCTTCCCCCACAACTGCCCCAAAATACATACCTGAGCCTGATCTTGATCTAGTGATGTGCACGAGAGCAAAGGCTCTTTCAGTTCTCTCCCTCCTCATTGGCTCAGATACAGCAGAGGGAGCCATTGGCTTCTGCTGCTGTCAATCATAGTCAAGGACGAGGGAGCAGAGGGCAAGGCCAGGCCCCGCTCTGTGTGTCTTGTGGAAACACAGAGTGGGGCTTGGGAGTGAGCTTGCACTATTTCACAGAGCAGGTAAATATAGCATGTGTGTTATTTTAACAAAAAAAGGAACTTTTAATTTTACTTTAATTAATACATTCGTAGAGTGGAAAACCAGCTGCATCCTAACTACTCCTCAAACTATCTTGTCCCCATCTCCTAACTCCTATGCTAACTAACCTGTATAAGAAAGGTGCATATACTTTCCTATTTTCAGGCTGCTCCCGTCACGTAATTCTGCTCCCTTGTGTCAGCCAGTGCTGCTGCAGGGGAGAGGGGGGAGTGCTGACAATGGAATCCTATGGGTGATGTCACCACTCCAGGCTTTACTAGCTTGACAAAGTGCTCTCTCCTCTCCTTTGCAGCCACCATTGGCAGACCAGACCAAAGCTGGCTAAGTAAGGTTTGCTGGGTAAGTATATATTTTTTTAGGTTAGTTAGCAAACAGTATGTGTTAAAAGTGTGTGTGTGTGTGGGCAGATGGGGGGCAGTTTTAAGGCTACTTAGGGTGCAGCTGGAATTCCATTTTAAGTGTATTTTTTTGACTTGATAGCAATCTTCTTTACAGCAGCACTTGAAAGGTATTTTTTTTACTTTTTTTTTACTTGAGAGCTGCTGCTTGCAATCTGCTATACGGCAGCATATGAACTGGAACAGCAATGGGCAGCACTGGGCCAACGTATGTTGCATGCAATTGTGCTGACAAGGAGCTACTGATAGGAGGAGAGAGCACAGTGAGGGGAGAGGTTACATGATCACTCTGCTTCTTCTCCTTCCTGCTTTTGCAGCTGCTGCTGTGTGACCCAGCTGTGCTGAGTGGCAAAGCTGTATAAATTTTAAGAATGGATGAACAGAAATACAGATGCTTTGGCAGGAAAAACACCTCTATTTGTATAGCATCTGTATATTTAGCTGTTTGCCTGGAGTTCAACTTTAAGTTTTTTTAAGTGTTCCTATACCACTGTTTTGATGTTATCCTGACAGTTCAAATGAGAACTGTAATGAAAGAAATGTGGTGGTCCAGCTATCATGATCCTCCAATGGCTTTAATCCTTCAATCACCTAATCAGGTGCAAAAAATTTTTTTTTTTTGTAATGTTCTGTTTCTTTGCATTTTGATTTCCTGCCGCTCACCCAATTTGGCATAAAGATGACTCAGAATTCTTGCAGGCTGCACTCGGAATGGTCGGATATCATTGAAACTTTCAACATTAATGTCGTGTTTCTTTAGCATTTTCTTAATTTCACTGGATTCGGCCAGAACGGAAACGGAAACTATAAAGTTAGAAAGATAAGACAAAAATGAGAAGCAGTGATTTTTAAAGGAATCATATTGTGCAAAAATAATTTACTAAGAACCCACAGGTGTGTGAAATGACACCTGCTTCCCTTATACTGTACCCATTAGTTAGCAGTTCCCTCTAAATGTGTGTATACAGGACCCCTAATTGTGTGCATACAAGTGCCTTAAAGTGTGTGTTAACCTCTATCATGAAATATAAACAAAGCATATCCCTCTATAGTGTGTACTTGTCTCAATCCAAAGAACTAAGTGTCATTTCTGTCTGCTGCTTCATTCCTCTGCCATCAGCATGAATCACTTCTGACAGGTTTTCCTGATACCAAGAAAAAAAAAAGGTGACAGAAGGGAAGCTCCAGCACACAGCTTGTGATTAACAGCCTCAGCTCTGTTCCTGTGTGCTTTGGGAAAGGTTGTGTGTCCTTCCCTCCAATCAGCTCTCAGAAATCGCCTCACAGAGCTGTGCAGTATGTAACTTCAGGTCCCTACCCCCCTGTTTTCTGACAGTTCAGACAAGCATTATAAATATTGGACTTTGAACGGCTGTAGAGAAGAGAAGACTTCAGATAAACATGTACAACTTATGTAAGATGATTTATTTCATCTCTGTGTAGCAGCTAAGGCCAGTTCACTGGGTATATGTAAAGGTTTACAACCAGTCTAAGAAAATCTGTGAAATATGGGGACTGCTGTTACTGGCTACGTTCTGAAATAATTGAACAAAATTTCTTTTTTTTTAATATTTATTACTATTTTAGTGCTGTAAACAGCATTTCCTGCTTTCTTCCCTAGGCAAGAATATTGTAAGGCCTCCACTCCATCCTGGGATGTTCACATCAGGGGATACCTATGCATGTGCACACATGGCACAGGTGTCTAAAAGGTCACAGACACCAGAACCCATCACTGTGTGTACGTATGTGTGGGAATTCCATGATCTCCTGTCAGGTTCCAAAGGCCTGCCGTACATCTGCTCATGTGCAGAATATGCAAAGATGGTGGCACAAAAGAGAAAAGGCATGAAAGCTCATAGCAGGAGTGGAGTTCCGCTTTAAAGTAGCAAAACAGCCAGGCGAACAAACAGGCAACTAGCAGCTTTTATTGAGAGAAAACAAATACCATATTTTCCAGCGTATAAGGCGACTGGGTGTATAAGACGACCCCCTAAATTTCCAGTTAAAACATAGGTTTTGGGCTATACTTGCCGTATAAGACTACCCCCTTCTGAGGCAACACCATTTAAAAACATCAGAATTTTTAACTGAAATGGTTATGACTTAGCAGTACTTAAAATCCTTCAAAATCCTCATGTTCATCCTCTGACATCATAAGTTCATGAATGACATCTTGTGATACATTTGTAAGACAGTCATCATATGGATCAAATTCCAAATCAGATGGTTACCGATGGATGTGCGGTAATACGGTAGCTTCGGCTACATACAGTATACAGTATATATACAGCCCGCCGATGTGCGGTAATACTGTAGCTTCGGCTACATACAGTATATATACAGCCCGCTGGATGTGTGGTAATACGGTAGCTTCGGCTACATACAGTATACAGTATATATACAGCCCGCTGGATGTGTGGTAATACGGTAGCTTCGGCTACATACAGTATATATACAGCCCGCTGGCTGTGCGGTAATACGGTAGCTTCGGCTACATACAGTATACAGTATGTATACAGCCCGCTGGATGTGCAGTAATGTACATATAGTATACCGCGCTGACCCAAGCTGGCTCAAAACAAATGTCCCTATGACAGATTAATCTCTCAGCCTGCTGGATGTGTGGTATACACAGTATACTGAGCCAAGCTGTTTCAAAACGTACCGGTACGTCCCTATGGTAATCAGCCTGCTGGATGTGTGTATGTACAGTAGCTGAGGCTACATACAGTATATGCTGGGCCAATCACGGCGAGCGATGTATTCTACTAATGAATACAAAGCCTGCTCGGATTGGCTGAGGTTGTGACATCATTAGCCCACCTCTCTGACTCAGCCAATCCGAGCAGGATTTGTATTCATTAGTAGAATACATCACTTGCCGTGATTGGCCCAGTGTATACTGCATGTAGCCGCAGCTACCGTACATACACACATCCAGCGGGCTGATTACAGTAGGGACTTACCGGTACGTTTTGAAACCACTTGGCTCAGCGCAGTATACTGTATATAACGCACATCCAGCGGGCTGACATATTAATCTGTCATAGGGACATTTGTTTTAAGCCAGCTTGGCTCAGCACAGTATACTGTATGTACAGTATTACCACACATCCAGCCAGCTTGACCCAAACAAACTCAAGGTTCACATTTTATACCCCGCGTATAAGACGACACCCAATTTTTGGGGTATATTTTTAAGTATAAAAAGTAGTCTTATACGCCAGAAAATACTGTAGATTAATTCCAGTTTATTTTTTGTGCAGGTTACGCACAGCTGTTAAAATATGCGGACTGTAAAGTATAAATATCCTTACTAAGAAACCTTTAAAGCAGCACATACCTTGCACTACAACATCAGGCTTAAAAGAAGTTGAGAATCTTCTATTTAGAGGATCAATTTCCCCAGGAGCTAAAAATCCCTGAAATGCAAAAACACAAACAGACCTTAACAAATGAACCGAATATTTAAAATATGTTTGTTTTTTTTTCTTTTTGCTGGTTACCTCAGCAAGAAGAGATCCAAGAATATACAGAGACTGTCCCCATAAATGTGGTGTCTTTCCCAAGGGAATGCGATCAACTGTATGGGGGTTGTGATACTCCTCGTCTATCTAAAGAGACAACCAATAAGATCACACGTTAATAATGGAACTGTCATCTGCAGTGTAAAGAATGATGCTGTTTTATTTTAATATAATTCTATTAAAAAAAAACTTTAACATTTTCTATCAACCGGTAATGTTCATTGTTTATTATACAGATTGATTCATGAACTTTATAAAGTATGTGATCGTTTTTATTACCTTGTCATATGGGACTGCATATAGTTCAGGCACCAGGTGAATTCCATGTTTACCTCGAATTATTACCCCTTCTAGGGCCTCTCTGTATTCCTGCACCTGAAACAGCATAAGAGAGATAAAATATACTGTATGTCTCACATAATCATAAAATATATATTTAGTTTATTTATTTCAGGTACTTATATAGCGCCGTCAATTTATGCAGTGCTTTACATATATATATTGTACATTCAGATCAGTCCCTAACCCTCAAGGAGTGTACAATCTAAGGTCCCTAACTTACATTCATACATACACATACTAGGGCCAATTTAGACAGGAGCCAATTAACCTACCAGCATATCTTTGAAGTGTGGGAGGAAACCAGAGTACCTGGAGGAAACCCATGCAGACACAGGGAGAACATGCAAACTCCAGGCAGTTGGTGCCGTGGCTGGGATTTCAACCAACAACTCTAGTACTGCCAGACTGAAGTGCTAACCATTTAGCCATTGTTCTGTTTATAACAGTCTCTGTACAGATAAATACATGTGGGTGGGTGTGTTACATTGCATAATATCCCTTGTAAAATTGTAACTCATACTCAGCAGTCTATATTTAGCCTTGTCCCTATGTACTCTGTCACTTTCAGTACCATCTGCTGTTTAATTTTAGTACTGCACTTTTTTGTGATTTTGCCATTTCAAACATTTGTAGGTGGTAATTACAATTTTAGAATAAACTGCTCAAAAAAAATTAACAGAACACTTTGAAAACACATCAGATCTCAATGGGGAAAAATATCATGCTGGATATCTCTACTGATATGGACTGGGTAATGTGTTAGCAATATAAGGATATCCCATCGTTTGATGGAAATTAAAATTATCAACCTACAGAGGACTGAATTCAAAGACACCCCCAAAAATTAAAGTGAAAAAATGATGCAGCAGGCTAGTCCATTTTGTTGAAATGTCATTGCAGCAACTCAAAATGGTACTCAATATTTGTTGGCCCCCCACGTGTTTGTATGCATGCCTGACAACTTTGGGGCATGCTCCTAATGAGATGCTAGATGTGTCCTGGGGTATTTCTTCCCAGATCTGAACCAGGGCATCACTGAGCTCCTGGATAGTCTGAAGTGCAACCTAGCAACATCAGATAGACCGAAACATGATTCCCCAGAGGTGTCCTATTGGATTTAGGTCAGGTGAATGTAGGGGCCATTTAATGTTATAAATTCCTCCATCCTCCAGGAACTGCCTGCATACTCTCGCCACATGATGCCGGGCATTGTCCTGTACAAGGAGGAACCAGGACCCACTGTACCAGTCTAGGGTCTGACAATGGGTCCAAGGATTTCATCCCGATACCTAATGACAGTCAGGGTGTCATTGTCTAGCCTGTAGAGGTCTGTGTGTCCCTCCATGGATATGCCTCCCTAGACCATCACAGACCCACCACCAAAACAGTCATGCTGAACGATATTACAGGCAGCATAACATTCTCCACGGCTTCTCCAGACCCTTTCACGTCTTTCACATGTGCTCAGGGTGAACCTGCTCTCATCTGTGAAAAGCACAGGGCGCCAGTGGTGGACCTGCCAATTCTGGTGTTCAATGGCAAATACCAATTGAGCTCTATGCTGCCAGGCAGTGAGCACAGGTCCAACTAGAGGACGTCAGGTCCTCAGGCCACCCTCATGAAGTCTGTTTCAGATTTTTTGGACATTCACACCACTGGCTTGCTGGCGGTCATCTTTTAGGGCTCTGACAGTGCCCATCCTGTTCCTCCTTGTACAAAGGAGCAGATAGCAGTTCTGCTGATGGGTTAAGGAACTTCTATGGCTCTGTTCAGCTCTCCTAGAGTAACTGTCTGTCTCCTGGAATCTCCTCCATGCTCTTGAGACTGTGCTGGGAGACACAGCAAATCTTCTGGCAATGTCACGTATTGATGTGCCATCCTGGAGGAGTTGGACTGCCTGTGCAACCTCCGTAGGGTCCAGGTATAGCCTCATGTTACCAGCAGAGACACTGACCCTAGGCAAATGCAAAACGAGTGAAAAACAGTCAGAAAAGACGAATAAGGAAAAAAATGTCAGTGGCCTCCACCTGTAAAGCCATTTCTGTTTTTGGAGGTCATCTCATTGTTGTCCATCTAGTGTACCTGTTGCTAATTTCATTAACAGCAAAGCAGCTGAAACTGATTAACAACCCCCTCTGCTACTTAACTGACCAGATCAATATTCCAGGAGTTTAATTGACTTGATGCTATACACTGATTAAAAAGTGTTCCTTTCATTTTTTTGAGCACTGTATATATGCAATACACCGATTTATACAGTGTTAGCAAAATTATGCCTGGGATGATACCAGAAGGAAAGCACCAAAGTGGACATTGATTGATGGTTGGCAAATGGCGCAGCATGATTGGCATGCAGTGACAGCAAGTGCACGGGCAGTTAAAGTGGAGACGTGGGAGAGGTGGTCAGCACAGTGACGGAGGATGGGAGTAGAAGTAGTGGTGAGATTAGGGGTTCATCTGGAAGTGTGGTGTGCAGGGAGGAGGATGGGTCAGACACGGTGATGAGGGCACAGTGATGAGTAGGTTTCAGGCATGGTGGTCAGGAACAGCTGTGGGGAGGGGGGGAAGTCCTGGTGCAGTGCTGTCAGTTGGGACGTTTACAGAAAAAATACACTCCAATCCAAATCCAAATTAAATCCAGCTGTATCTCTTATGCAAAATTAAGTGTCAATGTGCCCAATAAAATGGTCTATTTGGAACATTCATCGGAGCATTTTATTAGGCACACTGGCTATTTATATTTCACAGGAGACACGGTTGGACTGAATTCACTGAGTGTGTTTTTTGCTGTGGTATTGCAGCACTCGGTCACTGTTGGGGCGATTTACTAAAACTGGTGCACTCAGAAACTGGTGCAGCTCTACATGGAAGCCAATTAGCTTCTAACCTCAGCTTCTTCAGTTAAGCTTTGGCAATAAAACCTGGAAGCTGATTGGTTTCTATGTAGAGCGTCACCAGATTTTGCACTCTCCAGTTTTAGTAAATTCCCCCCTGTGAGTAGGATGTCTAGGAAGTTTCACACCATGAGAGTTGTTTTCCTTTTTTCACAACATCTAATTGGGATAAATGCTAGATGGATTGATGTTGAAAGGACAAATTACAACCAAAATAAAGCTATAAGGATTGCCATTATCAACCAAACACTGACCATTGCACTTGAGTGATCTGTCAGTATCTACTAAGTTTACCTATTTCAGTGGGAGAGTTTGGATGATAGATGAAAGAAGCTTTTGGATGGATTAATATAGATATAATAAGGCATTACTGACATTTTGGTTTTGACAACAGAATATATCTTGCGACAATTTTGCTTAATGACAAGTTTAAGGAAATAGTTTTTTTTTTTTAAATATACAGTAAATTGCCAAAAGTATTGGGATGCCTGCCTTTAAACACACATGAGCTTTAATGGCATCCCAGTTTTAGTCCGTAGGGTTCAATTTTGAGTTGGCCCTCCATTTGCAGCTATAACAGGCTGTCCACAAGGTTTAGGAGTGTGTCTATGGGAATGTTTGACCATTCTTCCAGATCGCATTTGCAAGGTCAGGCACTGATGTTGGTCGCAGTCTCCACTCTAATTCATCCTTAAGGTGTTCTATTGGGTTGAGGTCAGGACTCTGTGCAGGCCAGTCAAGTTCCTCCACTCGCTCATCCATTTCTTTATGGACCTTGCTTTGTGCACTGGTGTGCAGTCATTTTGGAACAGGAAGGAGCCATCCCCAAACTGTTTCCACAAAGTTGGGAGCATGAAATTGTCCAAAATGCCTTGGTATGCTAACGCCTTAAGAGTTCCCTTCACTGGAACTAAGGGGCCAGGCCTAACCCCTGAAAAGCAACCCCACACCATAATCCACCTTCCACCAAATGTTACACTTGGCACAATGCAGTCAGGCAAGTACCATTCTCCTGGCAACTGCCAAACTCAGACATGCCCATCGGGTTGCCAGACAGTGTTTCATCATTCCAGAGAACACGTCTCCACTGCTATAGAGTCCAGTGGCAATGTGCTTTACACCACTGCATATGACGCTTTGTATTGCACTTGATGATGTAAGGCTTGGATGCAGCTGATCGGCCATGGAAACCCATTCTGTGAAGCTCTCTATGCGCTGTTGTGCTAATCTGAAGGCCAGATGAAGTTTGGAGGTCTTTAGCTATTGACTCTGCAGACAGTTGGCGACTTATGCACAATGTGCGCTTCACCATGTGCTGACCCCACTCTGTCATTTTATGTGGAGTGTTGTTCCCAGTTGCTTCCACTTTGTTATAATACCACTAACTGTTGACCGTGGAATATTTTGTAGCAAGCAAATTTCGCGGATAGACATTTTTGCATAGGTGACAACTTATCACGATACCACGCTTAAATTCACTGAGCTCCTGAGAGTGTTCCATTCTTTCACAAATGTTTGTAGAAGCAGTCTGCCTGTCTGGGTGCTTGATTTTATACACCTGTGGATATGGAAGTAATTGGAACACCTGAATCCAATGATTTGGAGCGGTGTCCCAAAACTTTTGGCATAATAGCGTATGTTTTATATTGATTTATTTTATTCAACGTATGTATATTATGTATTTACATATTTGGGAGTTCCTGAGAAGAGGTCCACATTAATTCTATTTTTGTACCATTTAGAACATTAGTGATGCTGTCAGCACACTTGAGAAATGGGACTGCAAAGGAGCACAAAGGGTTTTACTTTTTAAATAACAAAGCAACAAGTATGTTTGTCTAAAGCTGACTCCAGTATAAGAACACCATTTAATCTAGTGACGTATTAATTAATTAAATAAATACATGCATTTTTACATAGAACTAGCATTAGGGTTCTATTGCTTTGCACAATGCTGTCAGTCAACAGTTTGACAATAGATAGAAGATGTCAGTGAGCGCACAGGAAAAAGAAATACGCTGCTAGCACAAAAGCACCACCCTCTGTATCCTCAATGGTATAATATGTATAAGAAAGGTGCAGCGCTAAAAATATCAAGCAGTATATATGATAAATATAAATAAAAATGAAAATAAAATAAAATAAATATAAAGGAGACTTAGAAAGTGAATATGCAGCATCAAATAATAAAATCAGAAAGAAGTGCTCTGATCGGCACTATATTGACATGAATAAATATTATTGTAAATACAGTGGAGCACTGGAGCAGCAGCGCTATAGTAGCATAAATTGATATTACAGTGAATATGGTGTACCACTGAAGGAGCAGTGCAATGGTGTCAACAAAATTAGTGACTGTAGTGAAATAAATCCACAAGAGCAATACATGAAGAGAAATATAAAGTCAAATAATAAACCACATAAAATGAGTCCAAATGAAGATAGTGACTTCCAGTGATATGTGAATCCGTTAAAGTGACTTCTTTATAATGCACTCACCAGAAGCGCATGTATAATGCGCATATACAGCAAAGGTAGCAAACTCCTCCACGTACAGGTCAGGCTATATTCCAGTCATGCACAGACACAGGGTAGCTAAGATGTACCAGAATGGGGGATACCTCCAGCACAACAATCAATCCTCGATATGAATAATGGCAAAAATCCTGAAGAAACCTCTCGGGATGTTCGCTCTTGTGCTCAGTGACACCAACAAGCTTCCATGTGGAACAGACAGCGCCACCTATCTTCATTTCATGTGGTTTATTATTGGACTTTTTATTTGTCTTCATTTATTGCTCTTGTGGATTTATTTCACTACAGTCACTAATTTTGGTGTCACCATTGCATTGCTCCTTCACTTTCTAAGTCACCTTTATATTTATTTTATTTTCATTTTTATTTATATTTATCGTATTTACTAACAGTTTGACAATGCTTACAAGAAAGAAGAGCATGAGTGATGACTGGATCAGTGGACCAGTTATCCTTTGCTAATCATTTACAGGCAGGAGAGAGGTTAGTATCCAAGCTGTACTGCTTAAATGTAGTTGGAAAAATGAATTCACCAACCTTCGTTTGCTGTCTGATAAGAGTGCCTGAATGATAAGGCTGGCTGAAAGCAATCACAAATCATTTGGCAGATAGAACAGTTCATGTATAGGTAATTCAATGGTGTGTATAGCCTGGGCTTCAGCTTTAAAATGCTGTCACTATAGACCCCAAATCAGAAAATGATATTATAAATAATATTAATAATTGTAATAATCATAAACCACAATCCAGGATATTTAAAGTGGATCTAAACCCTTATTTAGTTTACAGCCAAGGAAGCTGCCATCTTAGCCTCTGTTTGCTCTGCAATTGCCATGGTGCGGCACATGTAATCAGCTATGACACCAGTCATTTGATGGCTTGACAATTCAGTTAAGAGCTAACATAAGCACACTAATAAATGTAGTATTTATTATTCAAGGCATGCCTTCAATGTAACTGTTTTGGGACACAGTTAAATTGGGGTGCTTGATCCTGCTTTAGTGAACATTTTAAAAAGGGCACTAAGAGGGGTTTTCTGTGGGAATGAAAATCTTTCATTCTTACCTGAACATGGTCTCCATTAAAAACTCCGTCAATGACTAAGTATGTCCAGAACACAGGCCACTCACACTCAATGTTCTCAAACAGCTTCAGTTCTGTGGAGTCGTAATGTAATCTGGTTGGGTCCTGAGAATATTTAAAATAAACAATATTTGAATTTATTTCTAGACATGGTCCAAGGTAAAGGTAAAACTACTTGTTTTATTGGGGGTTTTTGCAAAAACTTGCAGTGGTCATTATTTTGTTGAGTGAACATGCTTCTAGTCTTCCTTTTAGTGGCAACACCACAGCACTTGATAGCCGAATAGTTCTGGAAATGAAATATAGCTTACCTCCCATCATACAACGCAAGCTTGCAATGGTTGACAAGGTTAAGATGACACACCAGACATAGGGGCAAATTTATTAGGCCTCATGCACATGAATGTTTAGAAGCTCAAAAAATCTGTCAAAAGTGTCATATTCACAATGCTTTTACACAACTGGAAGCTGCAGGTGGTGCCTACAGGTAGCCATAGAAGTGACTGGCGGTGCATGGCCATACTCATATAAATGCTGATGTTCCTAATCATAGGTGTTATCCATGCATGTGCATATGCTGTATTTCCTAGAAACGCAAGATCTGCTTTGCTGGATGAAAAGTCAAATATGCATCAAGCAGGATTTTCTTTTTTATTGCACTTAGATTAAAAATGTAAATGCATGAAATTAGCATTTTCAGAGAAATAAGTGTTTAAGACCTAAATTCCTGTTTATGTTCATTTTACCAACCGATGAAACAGATGAATGTTGTACTCTGATCTGTCCCTTCCTTTGTATTTGTCTTTGACAGCCATAGGAAGACGAATTGTTTTTGCATAATGAAATATCACACACCTCTCATGCTACTTCTGAATAAAGACTATTACATTTAATAATATTTAAGTTTTGGTTTACCTCTTTTGGCGTTTTTATATCCGTCACGCAGAAATCGGCAGCAGCCATATCTTCCCTAATGAAAAATAAAATATTGATAACGACAAAACATACAATTGTCAATTGTTTTATAAAAGAAAGGACATTTTAAATAAATGGATGTGGCAGGTATAAACAGGCAGCAGTATGGACAAAATGGAAAAAAAAAAAATATATATATACCGTATTTTCCGGCGTATAAGACGACTTTTTACCCCTTGAAAATCTTCTCAAAAGTCGGGGGTCGTCTTATACGCCGCTATAACGGCATGCTGACACTCTTTAGGAGGGTGGCGCGGTGCCGCCGCCGCCCCCCCCCCCTTCCCCTGAATACAGGGGTGGACAGGGGCTGCTGTTTCTTACCTGGCTCCGGTCCCATGACGATCCGGTCCAGGAAGCGCGGCTGCTCCTTCAGTCAGTTCGGCCACTGGATGTTCGCGCGGCTGCCCGGCTCCGCCTCCTTACCGGTGATTGGCCGCCAGAACTGTAGCTCGGGAAAGGCACACAGGCGGCCAATCACCAGCGAGGAGGCGGAGCCGAGCGGCCCCGCAAAAAGCGAGTGAAGGAGCGGCCCGGTAAGTGTGCCGTACAGAGGTGCTGCTGCAACCACATATGCTGGCTGCAGCAGCACAATACTGCAACAGGGGTCAGCAAGTGTCATTGGTGTCAGTGGGAGGAATAGTGCCCCATCATTGGTGTCACTGATACCAATGATGGGGCATTATTCCTCCCACTGACACCAACGATGGGGCACTTTTCCTCCCCCCCACTCACACCAACGATGGGGCACTATTCCCCCCCCCCCCCCCCACTGACACCAATGATGGGGCACTATTCCACCCCCCACTGACGCCAATGATGGGATACTATTCCTCCCACTGACACCAATGTTGGGAAACTATTCCTCCCACTGACACCAATGATGGGGCACGATTCCTCCCACTGACACCAATGATGGGGCGCTATTCCTCCCACTGACACCAGTGATGGGGTGCTATCCCTCCCACTGACACCAATGATGGGGCACAATTCGTCGCTCTGACACCAATGATGGGGCACTATTCCTCCCACTGATACCAATGATGGGGCACTATTCCTCCTATTGATACCAATGATGGGGCACTATTCCTCCTATTGATACCAATGATGGGGCACTATTCCTCCCACTGATACCAATGATGGGGCACTATTCCTCCCACTAATACCAATGATGGGACACTATTCCTCCCACTGACACCAATGATGGGGCACGATTCTTCCCACTGGTGTGCATTGGAAGAGGGGTAGTCTTATACGGCGAGTATAGCCCAAACACTACATTTTAACAGGAAAAGTAAGGGGTCGTCTTATACGCCCAGTCGTCTTATACGCCGGAAAATACGGTATATTATTATACACAGTGTGTATATATATATAAAAATAAATGTGTGTATGTACACACACATATATTTACATTATATATACAGTATACACAGGATAATTTAGTATTGGATGGGATGTGAGATTAACAAAACCACATATGCACATGCACACAAATAGTGGCACTAATATAAAGATCGAATATTCTACATATATCGTACTTGCAGCTTTGTGAGGATTTCATTTTTGGTCGCATTCACCAGGTTTATATCTTCCACTGCAAATGCTGGGTATGAAATAATAGACAGCAGACCGGCATCGATCTCCTTGGAGGTGGATGCTCGTGGTAACATAGAGTACAGAATAGACTGCAAAGAACAGGACACGTGTATAAGACCACATTCCACAGAAAAGGTAAACCTTACCTACTATGTCACAAAAACAAAAAACAAAAATGTAAATTAACTGTAGTTTTATTATTGTTACGATTATGGATTTGTATACAGTCAATACCTTCCACCAAACTATATAAAGCAATCCATAGGAGGCCTTTAACAATACAGGTACACAAAAAACCAAGGATGCGAATCTTGCATAAAACATTTTACAGACTAAAGTAAAATTTAGATACTTGTACAGTGAAAATTGTACTCTTATAGATGGTAAGTTGTATTCTTGTAGAGATGTATTTTATGGGAAGCATACAACTGTCTAGTTTTTTAAAGATGGTCGTACTTTTGCAGATTTGAAATGTATTAATTTTTTATTTTAACAAAATAATCCACAAGCATTTAGAGTGGCTGCTATTTCTCGGAAGATGCAGGATTTTAAAATGTTTAACCTGGGAGTGTTTGATATCTTTTTGCATTTTAAAGTTCACAAGCAAAGCTCTTACTGTGCCAACCAATTGACTACACCACTATGTAATTGAAAGATGCTAAGAAAGCATCAAGGTATGTCTCACGAGCATACTATAAAGCAGTTCCTTAAACAGTTCTAAGTACAGACCTACATTTTCAAGAATTATTTTTGCCAAATAAACTAAACCAATGTGACTGACAAATGTTAAAATGACATTACTGTTAATGAAATACATTGCTCTCCGCCTGTGCAGATGCACGTATCTAACATAATGTACTTGCTCCTACAAGTACAATGCTATCATGTCACCCCATTTTGCTGCTAGAGGTCTCCAAAGGTCCTGTGCAATCTAACTTAGTGAAAGCTGAAAATTGCAATGGACCTATCACACTTTCCCACAAATCATTAAGACAATGCTCAGGCACCAAACACTGAATTGTGGGTAGATGGGGAGTTGTCACATGTATCTCCATACCCAGAAGTATCAGGTATTTTAGGGGACAGAACAGAGTGATGGATGACCTTGTTATGGATGCTTTAGGGTAATTACTAAACCTGCTGATTCTTATGTTAATTAACCTATAAATAGGATGGCTTTATTATAGAGGCATTGTCACATGAGAACATTTCTTACCACTGATTTAAAGTGTACTCCCCTGTCAGTCCAAACAAAGCTGCATACAGTATGTGACATGTTTGGAATGCTTCCCCATGACTATTACATTGAGAATCATAGTTTGCATAAAACACTTGTGACATCTGACCACATGCATCCTTCTTGCTATTAGATCTACAGTATCCAAACACACCTGAGCTTATGCCTCTTTATGAGTACTTGAGATAAACTCCCACTTGCTTGGGGAGATTTAGTAAACTATTCCTGAAAATTTGTATAAAGTTGGCAGGCATTTTTTTAAGCAGAATTAAACCCACAACCATAACTGTAATATATTGCAGCTTTTCAATCATTAGATGTGGTGGCTGCATTTGTTTTATTTTTTTTAAGGGTTTTCCCTCTGTTTTTACCTGTTGTGCTGGCTAGTAACATACATCCTGTATTAAAGTGCTTCCACTCAGGATGAAGGAGCACAAGAGCAAATTGGGACAGTAGCATTGTCAGTCTGGCCGAAGGGTAGTGCTAGATGTACTAGCAGATTTAGATACATTAACAAATTGAAGCCAAACTCCAGATAACATTTTACAAACAGTTACAGCAAAAATTTATTTTTTCCTTTTGAGATAAAGGTTTTACATAAATGAACAAAAGCTGATCATGGTATGTCTCATCTCTGTAACTGATACATCTGCAGGACAGCCTTCTCTTTTGAAAAACAATAGGCTTACTGGCTGGATCACCAGGTGAAAATAATGGAAAAAAGCCTAAAACCAAAAACAAATGCAATCATCACATTTAAGAATTGGTAATCTGCAATATAATAAATGTATGCTATTGGGTTTAATACTGCTTTAAGCTTGTTAACTGGGTTTGTTAGGTACATAACATAAATGTCACATAATATAGAGACAAAAAAATCATAGAAATGTACAAAAGCCCTAAGAGTTCGGTAATGTGTACCTGACAATGTTCTACATCATCCGGTAGGACATGGATCACTGACTTAGGACCTCCATGAGCACCAAACAGATCAAGTTCATCAATAGCTTCAAGAGCAGCCTACAAATGGGCATAAATCAATTAGATCAATTAAACTGTATGCCATAAGCTGGTGACACGTGCTGCAATATAAAGCCTATACCATGCATTGGCACATTAGATATGCTTTACACAAAGAGGGAACGGCAGAGTATTGGGAATAAGGTCCCAGTATTTTTCTAATACATTACGGAAATATACAGATAACAATGATTTTGCAAGAGAAAATACGTCATTTTGTTTCTTTCAATTGTGGTTCAACATAGTGATGATCCTGTTTACATACTGTGCACAAAACATGCCATAGGGGGCTCCTACTGGACACATCAAGAGAAATTGTGGGTGATTTAGTAAGGTGTAAGGTTAACCTACTCTTTCCCTCCTTGTAAGGTAAATTACCTCTCCCTAACACTGCTTTTACACTCCCCCTAACAAGTGCTGCTCCAAACTGCAGGCATATGAATAATGCATAAACTGCAATTGAACCACTTCTGTGTCAAGATGACGTCCCAAATTCTGAGGTATTTCGGCATCCAGTAGATGCTGACCTCCCCAAGATGGCCCTCTACAGCCCATAATTGTGGAAAAAATAGTCTCCAATGGTTTCCTGCTAGCTCAATGAAATGTCACAGTGCCATCTTCAGGTCATCAGACAAACTGCAGCCCAACATCTGCCTATATACAGATGACTCTGAATAGACTTGTGTACATTAATGACCACAGCTGAGGCTACTATTGGTAGACTGCTTGCAGGCAGCTGTAATAAAAGTCCTGTCATGTGGCCCTGAACACTCCAGATAGACTCTGTCTGGAGCTACTAGGGCTGCATATTAACAAACCTTTGTTACAGTTAGCTGTCTGCAAGCCCTCTCCTGCTGTCAGTATCAACAACAGGTTTTTCAGGGAGATGAAGCCAATACCACACAAATTTGACTCCCAAATGCCTTCGGCACTGTCTGCAAGCTGTTTTCTGGGAACTTCACAACGATACAGATGGCATAGCAGTCTGAGGATGGAGGTCAGATAGCTAATAGTTGGATTTGACACTCACGGAGGTGTCAGACTTCTAATAACTTTGCTGTAATTTTACTGTGACTTAAAAAAATAATGACGATCAGAACACAAGCTCATACACAAGTATGTATTATGTTTGCTGTAATGAAAGATGGGTTCAAATTAAGAAGTGTGAACTGGTGACAGGGTCCCTTTACGACTCATAAAATGATTGATATTAACTGCAGTTTACTAAAAAAAAAATGCTTCAGGTTAAGGGTTCTAGGGTGAGGGATTCTTTACTATGCAGAAGTTTCACCAATGATTAACAAAAGCCCTAGGACACGGGTGTCAAACTGGCAGCCCTCCAGCTGTTGCCAAACTACAAGTCCCATGAGGCATTGCAAAATTGACAGTTACAAGCATGACTCCCAAAGGCAGGGGCATGATGGGACTTATAGTTTCACAACAGCTGGAGGGCTGCCAGTTTGGCACCCCTGCCCTAGGATATACAGTATATGGCCAGGGTACACTGGTTGTCTAAACGTCATAAAAAATATCAGTCTTACTTTGGCCACTCCCACAGAGCTAGCATTGAGCTCAGGAAATCCTTGATTTGTTTTGTCTCCTCTCTCCCACATTCCATAATCCTGAGGATGAGAAAATATAGAATTGTTCATTAGCAGAAACCCAGATCAATAGATTCTGGTTATAAGTGCTTTATTGTGAAGCAGCGAATATAATAACACTCAACATGAAAGGAGAATGTATACTTATAAACTAACCAACTAACTACCAACTTTCGTTTCTTCCAAAAAAACTACCATATTTTTGTTGTTTACCAAAATGTTATGTGGTACAATGTTCCAATAGACTCTTGACCTGTATGTGGCATGCACAGCTATATTCACCCTGCACTAAATGCAGGGAATGAAATGATCTAAAGATCTAGTGCATGTTAGCTTGCCTGGCTAAACAGGCAATTGCATAACAGGAACCTACGGAAAACCACATTGAGGATTTTAATCAGACTCTACTTACATTCCCTGAGTTCGTTCACCTCTCTCACCCACTGCCAGGCTACAGAAGATGCCCAATATTTTTAGTGTAAACTTTAAAGTGGTTCTAAAGGTAGACATTCTATGCAATAAGGTAAAAAAAAACCTGAGCCCCAGACTCTCCCAGGTCTCTCTCTTGTCATTGGCTCACACAGCATCCAAAGCCATTGGCTACTGCTGCTTTCAATCACAGCCAATGAGCCAATGAAAATAGAGCTGGGCCGGGCCGAGCTGCGCTCTGTGTGTGAATGGGCAATGTCCATTCAGAGGAGTGTGATTCGGGAGCAAACCTGCTCAAGTGCACCCATAGCAAAAGCTTGCAGTTGGTGGCACTTGGCAGGGGGGAGGAACCAGGACTGCCTCTGGGGGACCCAAAAACAAGAGGATTGGGGGTTCTCTGTGCAAAACCATTGTACAGAGGATGTAAGTATAACATGTTTTATTGATTTTTAAATTACAACCTTTAGGATCACTTTAACTTGCTAAGCAAATTGAAAGAGGTTGGTTAATTATTGGTGAAGTAAGCGAGCACACCGAATGAGGGTATACATGCTGACCATTCGCTTGCATTCAAACACTTCTATGAATTACGTAAAAAACACTTCCCGAGGAGCTCTAAAATTCCACTAAAACCGAAACTATCAAAGTTTGAGTATATTTAGTGCTTACTTAAAGTGGTTGTAAGGGCTCAAGATTTTTTACCTTCATGCATTCTATGCATACGGGTAAAAAACCTCTGTGCAGCATCCCCCTTGCCCTCCTAATACTCATCTAAGCCCCCTCTCGATCCAGCGGTGTGCACTGGAGACTCGGCATCATGGAACTCCCTCTCCTCATTGGCTGAGAGAGCAGCGGGAGCCATTGGCTCTGTTACTGTCAATCACAACCAGTAAACCAATGAGAAGAGAGAGGGCGTGAGTCTAAGCGGCAGCTCCATGTGTGAATGGACACACAGAGCAGCAGGTGCCCCCGTAGCAAGCTGCTTGCTGTGGGGGCACCCGACAGGAGGGAGGGGCCAGGAGTGATGGCGGGGGACCCAAGAAGAGGAGGATCCAGGCTGCTCTGTGCAAAACCACTGCACACATCAGGTAAGTATAGAACCGTTTGGCATTTTTAGAAAAAAAAAGTAAGCCTTTAGTATCGCTTTAAGGATACAGTGGGTTTATTTAGCTGGTTTACTGAATCTGGTGCACCTGTGCATGGGAGCCAATCAGCTTCTAACCTCAGCTTGTTTAATTAAGTTTTAGCAATAAAACATGGAAGCTGATTGGCTTCTGAGTGAACCAGCTTTAGTAAATACATCTCAGTGTTAGACCAAGTTAATTTTCATACACAATAAAACAAATTTGTTATCTCGTTGAAGGGCAACCTAGCATATGATGATTTAATAAAGTATGAATGACAGTCAGAAGTAGTTAGAAAATCTCTGCAATCATTGACCCTAGGTTCACATCTGTGCGGTTGGTGCCACTGCGGATGCGCACAAAAAATCTGTGCAGCCTGCACAGAGAATTGCAGACCCACGGTTGGGTGCCATTAGTTCTAATGGCATGCCGCCCGCACTGGAAAACCCAACCGTACTGGGAACCGAGGTTCCCATGCGGGCTGCGTTTTCCAAGGAAGTGCAGGGACTACTTCCCTGCGTGTCACGGGCATGGGAGTCCATTCAAAACGAGTGCCTATGCAAAACAGGCCCGCACGGCCGCATAGATGTAAACCGGGGGTGAAGGACTATTCTATCCAGTGGCCAGGGAAAAACATTTCACTTGAGTTGGCATAACTTAGCTTTTTTTTGACAAATAAAAAGCAGAATCTAAGCCTGAGAATATATCAACAATATAAGAAAGCACTGAAGCCCCACATACACAATCAGAATATTGTATGAAAAATGCTGCTTTTAAAATAATTGTATGATAATCTCATCGTTCACAGCAATCGTCCGAAAAAAATAGAAGGGACAAGCATGAAAAGTTTTATCGTACCATACCACATCATACGTTTTTCATTTAACCAGTACAGTAGTCATCCAAAAATACAATACAAATACATTACATGCTTCAGAATTTTTATTCTGCCATTAAAGAATTTTCATAACTTTAGTTACCTCTTCACTTTTGATATGAGACTAGCATGCAGAAAAAAATGGACGCTCATTCGTCCGATAGTCTAAATGTGTATACGCAGTATGAGATCAATCAGGTAAAGAAAAGAATATTTTCTCTAGCTTTGAAGCTTTATTCAATACCAATGTTGGAAAATATCTTTGAGAACAATAGCTTATTGCCCCTTTATCTATAGGTAAATGGAAATAAAATCTTTAGCTTTAATCTTACCAACCATGGCAAGTATCGATCTTCATCTGAAGATAGGAAGATTTTTCATTGACCATTGTTCTTGGTGAGACATTTAAAGTGGTTCTAAAGGCTGATGATTTCTTACCTTTGATTCTTTGAGGCGGCTTGGGAGCAAGCATGCATGAGAAGCTTGCTCTGGGGCACTCAGAAAGGGGGGAGGAGCCAGGAGTGCCAGTGGGGGACCCCAGAAAGGGATTATAGGGGATGCAAAGGTAAGTTTAACATGTTTGTTATTCTTAAAACAAATCATTTGAACCTTTAGTATTAATTTAGGAATTAAAGCAAAACATTCCAGGCCATCTTAGGTGGCCCTGGGAAGTACTAGAAATGTTGCAAAATTGTCTTCTAGGACAAGATGGGTAATCAGAACACATAAATAATTTATTGGGCAAGGGTCAGCTTTTCATAGTCTCATCATTTCCATTTCATTGACTACTGAAAGTGTAACTGCAACTTTGGAGCAGTTACACCTATATTGTGCCTTGGGCTGCCTCAAGCCCCACCGTAAGACTTATGCTCATCTGTCCCCTATCCTTTCACATATCACTGATGCTGCAGAGTACCTTGAAACCTCCAAGCTCTCCTTTCAGCCCTAAGGAGAGTTTATGCTGTGTACTCTGGCAAAGTATAAACTCTGCATAGGATAGAATAACAGAATGAAAAGCGCATGTGCAAACCTGGCTTAGAAGATTTTGACTAGTTGCTCTGAGGCCTCAAGGATGATATCTCGCTGGATGAGAGACACATGATTGTATAACTTGCAGAGAGGGCTAAGGGTAGGTCAAGGCACAAAGTAAGTGTAATTTTACCAAAGGTGCAGAAAATTGTATGCATGCTCTTTGGACCCAGTACAATACACAGACAAGCACATACACACATCAACATGACAAACTGTAAAAGCTGTGAAATATGTTGGTTAAAAATCCAACTTATAATTTATTTAAAGTGTTACTAAACCCACAACAGTAAAATCAGTCTGTATATGCAGTAAGGCATGCCTGTAATACTCACTGTGGAACCCAATGGGTTCATCCTTTGCATTGTGTAAAAAGAATGATTGGTCCTGTCTTCTCTGATCCTCCCCTTCTTCTACTGTCCTCAATCCATCTGCTGATAGAACAGAGCCTTGGGGGCAAGCTGCACATGCTCAGGTTTGTGTGTATTGCTATAGAGGTTTTTTTTTTCTTGGGAGGGTGCATATGATCAATACAGGGCCAATCAGTGCTGTCCAGACAGAGGGTCTGGGGTCCTGCAGCCACATAGAACAATCAGGGGAGAATGAAAGCTCCTCTTACAAGCTTTAACCAGTGCTCTGCTGGACACTGATGGAAGTCACAAGACTGCTCTAACTGCTGATGAGAAAAGGTATTTAGCAATTTATATTTACTAAAATAACTGCATTTCCATGTTCTGTGTACTGTGGGAGAACAGATATCATGAATGCAGTCATGGGTTTAGTAACACTTTACGTTTGCAATAGTTTACACATATATGCTCACACTACATAAGGCTAGAATATTATTATTATTATACAGGATTTATATAACGCCAACAGTTTGCTCAGCGCTTTACAATATAACGGGAGACAATACAGCAACAATACAGTTCAATACAAGAGGGAAAGGAGGGCCCTGCTCCTTGGAGCTTACAATCTAGAGGAAGGGGCTAGTGGTACAAAAGGTTGTAACTGTGGGGGATGGACTGGTTGGAAGAGTAGAAGATTCCATTATTAGCTGAGGGCAGGATAGGCTTCCCTGAAGAGACAGGTTTTCAGAAATCGCCTAAAAGTGAGCAGAGTAGGTGATAGTCTGATAAATTGGGGTAGAGAGTTCCAGAGGATGGGGGAAGCTCTGAAAAAGTCCTGGAGATGAGCATGGGAGGAGGAGACAAGGGTACTAGAGAGCAGGAGGTCTTGCGAAGAGCGGAGAGTACAGTTTGGGTGATATTTAGAGACAAAATTGTTGATGTAATTTGGGGCAGAGTTATAAATGGCTTTATACGTTATTGTTACTGTTTTGAATTTTATCCGTTGGGCAATGGGAAGCCAGTGGGGGGATTGGCAGAGAGGGGTGGCAGATACAGAACGGTTAGTAAGGTGGATAAGTCTGGCAGCAGCATTCATGATATACTGAAGAGGGGATGGCTTGCAATTAGGTAGGCCAATGAGGAGGGAGTTACAATAGTCAAGGTGAGATATAACAAGGGAGTGAATAAGTTGCTTAGTGGTTTCCGAGGTTAGGAACGGGCGTATCTTGGAGATGTTGCGGAGGTTTAAATCTACAAGATTTGGACAGCGATTGGATTTGGGGGTGAAAGGACAGATGGGAGTCTAGGATTACACCTAGTACCCTGGCATGAGGGGAAAGAATGATGATTGTGTTATTGATCTTGATAAAGAAGAAGTCAGGGGAGGGGGCACGGGATGGGAGGAATACTAAGAGCTCAGTTTTGAAAAGATTGAGTTTGAGGAAGTGGAGTGACATCCATGCCGATATGTCGCTTAGTAGTTAAGTAATGCGAGAGGAGACTGAAGGGGTGAGGTGAGGGGTAGAAAGATAGATTTGTGTGTCATCAGCATAGAGATGGTACTTAAAGCCGTGGGAGTTTATCAAGTGACTAAGGGAGGTGGTGTAGATGGAGAAGAGAAGGGGTCCAAGGACAGAACCTTGAGGGACCCCTACAGAAAGAGGGAGTGAAGAGGAGGAGGCAGCATTATAGGTAACGCTGAAGGAGCGCTGCGATAGGTAGGAGGAGAACCAGGAGAGAGCAGAATCTCTGAGACCAAGAGAGTGGAGTTTTTTGAGGAGGAGGGAATGGTCAACCGTATCAAAAGCCACAGAGAGGTCGAGTAGTAAGAGTACGGAGTAGTGGCCATCGGTTTTAGCTGTTAGTAGATCATTAGTGAGTTTTAGTAGGGCAGTTTCAGTGGAGTGTTGTGAGCGAAAGCCAGACTGTAAAGGGTCAAGAAGGTTGTTGCTGATGAGGTGGGAGCTTAGGCGATTGTAGACTAAGCGTTCTAGGAGTTTAGAGGTAAATGGCAGCAGGGAGATGAGTCTTAAATTGTTCAGGTTGGTGGGTTCCAGGGAGGGCTTTTTAAGTATGGGAGTAATGTGCACGTGCTTTAGAGGGGAGGGGAAGGCACCAGTAGAGAGGGGGAGATTGAAGATGTGAGTGAGGGAGATAGGATGGAAGAAGAGGGTGACCGTAGTAGTTGTGAGGGGACAGGATCAAGGTGGCAGGTAGTGAAACAAGCTTCTGAGAAAACCTTAGTGACCTCTTTGGTAGTAGCAAGGTCAAAAGCGGAAAGTGTTGAGGGACGTTTAGTATAAGGAATATGCCCTTTACTAAATAACTAGTCTGATACATTTAAAAGATTTGAAAAGATTTACTTACAGCAACTTTATAAGCAGCTTCTATGTAAAATACAAGATTCTGTATAAAGGCCACTTCATCCAGTGTAAACACAATACGAAGACCTGCACCATGGAGAAATACATGCACATTATTAGACGTGAATTATTATGATATACTATGTAGTGTTTCTTTACAAATTGTCTAATGTTTGGCTATAATAACTACCATGCACTGCATTCTAATGCAAATCTCTTCAAATTGGCTCAAAAACTAAAAGGCCATTTACTCTTAAAGTTCTTGGATACATGTATAGGTCTTAATGGACTCTTCCCAACAATTCTGGGTCAGCTAGAAGATGACATATAAGTCTACTGATATGTCTTATCTTCAGACTGTATATACTAATATATATCTAAGAATGATCCCAGCAGACTCTGCTAGAATACACCCAATTAACTTTAATCAATGACTATACCAGAGATTTTACCTTTTATTTGGTGCAAGCACCACCCCTCCCCCATACCGCAAACACAGCATTGAAAAAAAACAGCTTGGCTTTTCAGTCCAGCTTTTCGTGTCACGTTCTGAAATATATATTTGTGAACTGGCCATTCCATGGAAACCCTATCAAGATCAATGGTAAGGCGTTTTTGTCCTTCATGGCATTTCACAAGAAAATATAGATAATTCACTTAAAAAGACCACAATAAAAGCTTAACTGAAAAGCCAAGTTGGCCTATCACAGCAGTACCAGTGGTTAAGGAGATAACCAGGGTGCTTCAGGACTGTGGCAGGCAAATAAATCATCCAACATCATTCAAAATATTTTTGGCTGACTTTTGCTTATATTAATTTGAGACTTTGTTAGGTAACTGTCTAATCCTGGTCAACATTGAGCAGACGTAAAGTGAACCTGTACTTGGCCCACACAAGGCAAAGTAACAGGTAAACTTTAAGTGACATACAATAATTGCCTGCTGCCATCAGGCAGACCTGGTCATGAATCTTACTATGCATGCAAAAGAGTTCATTGATCCATGGACCTTTCCTGGTCACATTATGCCCTCAGCAGTATCTTGCAACATTGGTGGGTGTTTTATTCATTTAAAAAGCACAGTATATATCCAGCATCACATAAAAAACCGTGGCATACTTCAAACTTTTAATGCTTACTCATAAGTACTCACTGGGGGACATTTACTACAACTGGAGCACTCAGATTCTGGTGTAGCTGTGCATGGTAGCTGATCAGTTTCTAAATTCAGCTTAATCAATTAAAGTGATTGTAAACTAGGGATGCACCGATACTAGTGCTAATCCTGAGTATCTCCATGAGTACATGGAAGCCGATACTTTGTGGTGTGATTTTCGTCAATACAAAATGTAAATTGCACCGCAAAGAATAGTGTGCGATTTGAACAGGAATGCGAGTGTCTTGGCTTGCCATAGCTTGAGTTCACAAAGAAGTGGTGCAGAGAACCTCCCTGAACCGATCCCATGCTGAGAGAAGAGTGGGCGTGTGGGGATGTATACCATGGAGGCAGATGCTCCAGATTATCAGCTGTAGGAGCAGAGAGAAAGCCATGGGGATTCTAAATCCCCACTGCTTTCTCTCCTCTCCTTGTAGGAATGACAGTTCAGGCTAAAGGGATTTTGATTGGTCAGCACTGTCACATGGACAATCAGAAGGCTGTCTAGCCTCTACTGTCATTGTTGCAAGGAGAGGAGAGAAAGCCATAGGGATTTCAAATCCCTAGTCTTGTGAAGCAGCTTTCTCTCCTCTCCTTGCAGGATTGACTGTACAGGCTAGACGCTGTCCATGTGACGGTGTTGACCAATCAAAAGCCCTCTAGTCCGAACAGTCATCCATACAAGGAAAGGAAAAAAAGCCGCAGGGATATCAATCCCCGTGGCCTTATCTCCTCTTCAACAGCTGAAAATCCAGAGCATCTGCTTCCATATGCAAACAAGGTATACATCCCCACATGCCCTTCTCTCCCACTCTCCACTGCAGGAAACCTCCTTGCACCGTTCCTGTGTGAACACAGACTATGACAAGCATAGGTTCACACAGGAGCATGCTATTGCATGCTATTCTTTGTGGTGCAATTTGCGTCCATACATTTTGTATTGATGCAAATCGCACCGAAAAGTATCTTGACTGAAAGTATCAGTACTCACACTACCCAATCAAAATAGGGTATCAGTGCAACCCTATTGTAAACCCTCACCTTGCAAACAACCCATTCAGTTTAAAATTGAAATGAAAGACAAAACATTTGTGTAAAGCAAAAAAAAAAAAAAAAATTATAAATACCCTTTTTCTATAAGTGATCATATAATCTCTGTTCTCAGCTGAATAAGAGCTGTAGTAGGAGAAACATCAGCTCACTGATCTTCCCAGTGAACGGCTGTGCAGAGGGCATGTCAGGACAATTCTGATCATTAGAGGAGAGTAGGCTGAGTTCCCAGCACAGCTAGAGAACTGGCCACAGTGAATCCTTCTGCTTAGTCTGGTCAGTTTTTATTAGGAAAGCAGAGGGACTGGCAGGAACACCAGGGATTCCACACAAAGGAAGCAATACAAAGAGAACAGGATAATGTTTCAAACAAGTACATGGTACAGCAGGCACATATCAGAAATATGAAATGTTGGGTTTACATATACTGTAAGCTGTGACAATAAAACCTGGAAGCCGACTGATTCCTATGCAGAGCTGCACTAGATTTTGCACTCTCCAGTTTTAGTAAATCTCCCTCGTTGTGTTTATACAACTTCACTTAATGCATCAAAGTACTCCCCATGTAACAGCTATGTGTAATTGCACAATCGCTTTGAAGACCTTTCAAATCCAGTACATAACCTTAAAAGATTATTATTTCTAGCGAAAAAAAATCTCATTCTGTAACTGTAGTGCATCCACCATGACAAACTACCTTACTCTGCTTATTTTTTTAAATAACCCCTGGAGTGCTCAGCACTAGAGGTCTAGTTTTTTGGCTGTGGAACAGACAATACTTTTCAAAGAAAGTTGATTCATATTACCTGCAGCCGTCATTTGTGCTAGGCAAAGCAGGAAGAGTGAGGTAGCATCAACTTGTAGATGTCCCCATTGGTCATCTCCAACAACAGTACTACACGTAGCGGTGTTATACTTGGCATGAAGACAATCTTTCGTACTCTGAGTGTGCTTAAACTTTTCAACTTTATCAACCTAGTAAAAACAAATCATGAAGCAATAGTTCATAAATAACATTTTCTAACCAAGCACATAAGTATCTTTGTGTTCTGGTAGGTTAAAATCTATCTCTAGACAATTTTTAATCTTTTAGTTTTTAGATACAGTGAGGACATTCTGTTTTTATTGCTGTGCCCCTGCTGGCAAGAGTAACCCTATCTATTTATCTTCCAAAACAGAAAGTTATGGGATTACAGAATTTTACAGTTGTTTCTTGAAAAATATATTCCAATGACAGCTGTCTACAGCTGAACATACATGCATAGATTTCCTTTGTTCAGCTTGCAGATGGAGGAATCTCCCCTGCCAGCTACCGTATTCTGACAGCTGACACCTATGACTGTCAGAATACCCAAACAGTCGCTGCATCTAATTAGATGTAGTCACTATTCCATGGAAAATGTCCCGCCCAGCCCCTTTCGTCAAAAGTGAATTAAACAAGGGCACCCAAAAATAGAATTACAGCTGATTCAGCAGTAATTAGTCAAAAATGCTGTGTATGGCGATCTTAATAGGGGATTCCTTATCACTTTGGTGAAATCTCCTCTGCTTTTCTGTTGTGTGCCCCTTTTGAAGTCTTCAGACCGGACATGTGACACTGCATGGTCTTCTTCATCTTGGTCTCTTCTCCAAGCTGGGAGGTCCTCACTGATGCAGAGAGCAGTGCTGACATGATGATGTCAATGCCACTCTCTGGACCAGTACACTAAAGGAAAGACACCATGGTGACCTTGAAAAGATTGAGGACAAATAGTTGTGAAGGAGAGGTGCTGAAGTGGAAAGTTCCAGATTAAAAAAAATAAATGTAATAAAAATTTAGCCTGGAGTCCGACTTTAGAGAAGGCATTGAATGAAGAATGTAAGGGATTCCCCCCCGCCCCGCTCTAAAATATAATTATGATAATAGGACCACTTAATGGCAGTACTCTCGGCACCTGTATTATATATATATATATATATATATATATTTTTTTATTTTTCCCCCAACAAAATCTTTATTAATAAATAAAGTACAGGTATTATCAGTTTTTGCTGCAACAGTTATTTTCTGATATTCAAAAACACCATCACAAACAGAACACAACAGAATAAAATTACCTGTCTGAGCATGCAGTGCAAAACCCCACGCATCAACTTCACTACACTCTGTGAAGGCAAACAAAGGATACTTTAACATGAAACAGTGGACCATTATATGACAATATGACAATTATTCCACATCTGTAAACACCATAAAAAGCCTTATAAGAAAATGTTATTATGTACAAAAAATCCTAAATGTATTTCCCGGTGTTCTAAAATACCTTTTAAATGTAACCCATAATCTTGGTAATTTTATTTGACAAGTAGATAAAAGTGATTAAATCAATATACATAATTGGTTTGACTTCTAAAAACGTGTGGCACACATCATGGCAATCAAAGGGTAAAAAACAAGCTGATCACCGCTGTGAGCTTGCTTCGGATTTAATCAGCAGCCTCTGAGCTTTTTTTTTTTAAAATTTTTTTTATAGGTGCGAGAATGCGGTTAACAATGAGGGTGGCCACAACATTTGTAGTAAAGAATAAAAGAAAAGAGTGTACCAACCTTGCGCATTACCTCAGTAAACAGTTCATGTATTTATTAATAAATTATACTCACAAGGGTAGCAGTAAAAAAATACATATAATATCCATAGCCAACACAGGGTTAAAAGTCCGGTGCGAGTTCCATCCAGAAGGGAGATAAACTCTTGGTCAAGCTAATGCGTTTCAAAGGGTGATCCCTTCTTCATCAGAGCTGGATTATAGATGGAAATCATCAATTATGATTCAGTTCCTATTCATAGGAGGCATTCAGGAACTTCGTGTCAGTGTTTCTGTGTAAACTGGCAGAAATACTGACACATGTGGCTGAATGCCTCCTATGAATAGGAACTGAATCCTAATTGATGATTTCTATCTGTAATCCAGCTCTGATGAAGAAGGGATCACCCTTCGAAACGCGTTAGCTTGACCAAGAGTTTATCTCCCTTCCGGATGGAACTTACACGTGACTGTTAACCCTGTGTTGGCTATGGATATTGTATGCCTTTTTTACTGCTACTCTTGTGAGTATAATTTATGAATAAATACATGAACTGTTTACTGAGGTAATACGCAAGGTTGGTGCGCTCTTTTACTTTTATTCTTTACTACAGTCTATATCAAGCTTCCCCAGCTTCATGATAGAGCTGCACAACCTTTGATCAGTATTGGATAAACATACTTTCTCATTGGATTAATCTTCCTCTGATCTGAGCCCCTGAGCACAGGGTGTGGTGGATGTGGGCCACAACATTTGGCCAGTGGAACAATACAAAAATAACAGTGTTTATCTTGCTAGTATAGTTTAACGTGGTTGTAAAGGTAAAATATTTTTACTTGAATGCATTCCTTGTATTAAGGCAAAAAACCTTTCAAAAGCCCCTCAAACACTTACCTGAACCCGATCTAGAAAGCTTCTCTCCTCCAGCCCGCCTAAATCACTTACCTGAGCCTGATCTTGATTCAGAGCTGTGCCCATCTGCAGCAGCTCTTCTCCCGTCCCTTCTCTCACAGAAGATACGGTAGCAGCAGTAGCCATTGATTTCCGCTGCTGTCAAGCAGACCCTGAGGAGAGAGCAGGGGCAGGGCCAAGCCATGCTGTGTGTGTCTAAAGATGCACACAGAGCATATCAGGATTGATTCTGCACGAATGCCCCCATAACAAGCTGCTTGGAGAAGAGAATGTGCGAGGGGGCACAACTCTTTGGGTCTACCTTCATGAGTCTGCGATCGCCCCCCGCTCTCATTTAGGTATTTTGAGGGTTGCATAGTGTGTAATTTTTGGTACTCTTTCCCGTTAAGAAAAAGGGACTATTGGCTGTTCCAAAAGAATTCCCACTCTCCCGCTTTATGAGGTTAGCTGCCACCTTGAATTTCAAGGGGGGGGGCCTTGTTGTAATTGCTGTAAAGTTGTTCTCGAGTTCTATAACTGAGCATTATAATGGATTTGTTATTTATTGAAATGTTGGATGAGTTACAATAAAATAATATTTTGGTGAATTTACTGTCTAATTTCAATTAAACCAATAAAGTGCTGCAACCTTTTCAATGCCATTAATGTGTTTGGTCTTTTATTTGTTTATTATATATATATTTGTTAATGTTTGCGGGGTTGCAGCCTGCAGTCCCATGAGCCAAGAGCACTGTTGAGGGACCCTAGAAGTATAACATGTAAGTTATTTAACAAAAAAAAAAAAAAAGCCTGTACAATCACTTTAAGGTTGGATATGCGGAACTGGGTCTAAAGATGAACCGTGATCAGTACTTGCATGTATGGCTGTCGGTCTATTATCTGGCAGTTGGAGAAAAGGGGGTAGGCCTCATTTGAGGAACATCAGTTAATATGGTTTAATACCATTGAGTGTATTGGAAACATTGTACTATAGATTGTTGGGTATCTATTGGTAAGGTTTTAATGAAAGATTCACAGACATCAAAAAATGTTTAAACCCGTGATTACTTGTGTAAGGCATTTACCCATTCTATGTGGAAAACACAAGATAGTGGGGTTCAGGACACATCTATTTATGCAAAAAGGGGATATAATAGTGAACAGTGAATAGTTGTTTGTAGCCTCTTGAAAAATCTGATCCCTGGAATGTTGATCAGGCCAGGCAGTGCCCATTCAGGCATTAAAGGCAAATAGTTTAACAAATGTGTATTAGCATAGCGTACTACTGCTGAGCATTTAAGTAAAAATGATACGGGCAACGAAAGGTGACAAATCTCTTTTTTAATTATTGGATATCATGGGAAAGGATTTGAACTCCTTTTTGGGTTATTACTGATATTCTTTCGAGAGATTCTCACTCATTGTTACAGGGACAACAGTTTTACTAAACAGGAAGTGGGAGAAAATCTGCAGCAGGGATAATGACAGGAAAATATGTGAAGTAGAGTTGGGATAGACTAGAACCCTTTGGCTTCTTTTTATTCCTGTGTCCCTGTTGTAGATTCTGCCTCACTTTGGTGAAACCATTGTCACTGTGACAGCAAGTGAGGGAAAAACCCAACAAGAGTTCTAACACTTCCCCACACAATTCACATTATAGAAAAAAGATCTTGGCTGATTATACAATTTAAGGCCCCATACATACAAACCTTTTGAAACTTAAAAATATGCCTAGCGCAAAATCCTGGCATCTTTCCATGCCCGGGGAGTCTATTACAGCCGGCCATAGAAATGAAAGACTGTACATGGCTGTACTGGGATAAACACAGATTGTTTTGTGCACAGCATAAACACACACATGTACATATAATGTATTCCCCGGGGAAATTCTGTGTTCAGGGAATACACCGTATGTATGTACATGCTTTCCGTTAATGCACCACATACACCCATTCACTTCTGCGGTCGGCTGTCTGCACCACCTGGGGCTCCCCAGGCATGGAAAAATACTGGGATCTTACAATAGAACCTCAAAACATTTGTGTGCATCAGGGCTAACATCTTGGTCACTCAGCTGAAGATTGGGCCATTTAAGTCTACCATATCAAGTTAAAATCAGTGTTTCTGACCAGCAGAAGCTTTGCTATTTCAGCCATGTGTTTGTAAAATTGTGTAACTGGCCCACTTCAGTCTGTCAGCCAGCAGTAGAGTTGAGCACTATCAATATATGGAGCCATCTGCTTATCTATAGCAACTCTAAAGCTGGGTACACATGGTCCGAATATCAGCCGGTTCAGCAGGAATAGCTGTCCCTTCTGACAGAAGCCGGTCCAAGGACCGGCTTTCATTGAAAGACATGCTGTAAAACCAGAATCCGAACAGTGCTCGCAGCCAATCTCTGATTAGTGTGTTCTGGCAGTTCCCTTCTGGCCCCCCCTATACTGTTCTCTCCTGTCCCCCCTGTACTGTTCCCTCCTGGTTCCCCTATACTGTTCCCTCCCCCCTATACTGTTCCCTCCTTGCCCCCCCTGTACTGTTTCCTGCTGGCCCCCTATACTGTTCCATCTTGGCCCCCTTGTACTGTTCCCTCCTGGTTCCCCTATACTGTTCCCTCCTTGCCCCCCTTTACTGTTTCCTCCTGGCCCCCCTATACTGTTCCTTCCTTGCCCCCCTGTACTGTTCCCTCCTGGCTGACCTACACTATTCTCTCCTGGCCCCCCTATACTGTTCCCCTGTACTGTACTGTGCTTTGCTCTCTTGTCTGCCCTGTACTGTACTCTACAGGCCCCATCCTATATTGGTAACTCCTGCCCACCCCATCCTTCCCCCCCCCCCCCCGTCCTGTGCTTTGCTCTCCTGGCCCCCTGTACTGTGCAGTGCTCTCCTAGCCTGCTGTACTGTTCCCTCCTGGATTCCCTGTGCTCTGCCCTGCGGACCCCCTGTACATTGATTTTCTCAATTATGACCCAAAATTGAGCATCAGTGCAAAAAAGCAAGCACAAGTTTCACATTAATGTTCCGTGGCCCTCCTGCACTGTTCCTTTCTGGCTCCCATATACTGTTCCCTCCTTGCCCCCCTGTATTGTTTCCTCCTGGCCCCCCTATACTGTTCTCTCCTGACTCCCTATACTGTTCCCTCCTGGCTCCCCTATACTGTTCCCTCCTGACTCCCCTATTACTTTTACCTCCTGGCTCCCATATTACTTTTCCCTCATGCCCCCTCCCTGTAATGTTCCCTCCTGGCCCCCCTATATTGTCCACTCCTGGCTCTCCTATACTGTTCCCTCCTGGCTCTCCTACACTGTTCCCTCTTGGCCCCCCTGTACTGTTCTCTCCCGGCCACAATGTTTTGGTCCACTAATCTTTACAGACCTTCTCTAAATCCAGATTCACACTAATGCGGTGCGGCACATTACATGTGATTCGCACAGAGACCATACTGCATTCCTGTGCACATCACATGTGATTTCTCTGTGGTGCAATTTGAGCCATACATTTTGCATGGCTCAGATCGCACTGCATCCGCACCAAAATACTGCAGGATCCTTTGTTTTGTCTGCACAAGAATCGTTTCACATGGGTATTCACACCCATGCGATCTGATTCAACACATTGCACTGCGTTTTGTGAACCGATTTCGGAGTGTTGCTAACTTAACATACACACCCACAGTGGTTCGTATGCTTAG